TCTCCTAGAGACTTATTATTAGCAGAACTTAAAAAAACAAACAAACAGGAGACAATTATCCCTAAGAATGATGAAAACAATAACACCATTATGAGGCACCGGTGTGTAGCGTTTTGCAGCATCATTGATTCCAAGCACGCTTACATAATGGCTACGGTCATTCTAGCTACTAGCTCTATCTGCCTACACGTCTCTTGGGGCTTTCGTAACATATTTTGGGGTTTCGAAAATACTTATGTACGTTTTAGCATGTCACATTTTTAGGGTTACGTAAATTGCAGAAAATTGATGGTGTACCTACAGGGGCATTATTTTCTTCAGTCGCTGAATTTCTTAACATTTGAAGGGATGAACTCATTATTCACACAATAATTGTGAGGTATTGTTTTGACTGTATAGAAATACATGTTCAATAATTGCACCAATGTATTAACCTTACACCACTTTGAGCTTTGAACAAGATGCACACTTTCTTGTAATAATGTACCATTCCACAGCCACAACCAGATCTGCGCTTCAAAATTTTTAAATTTGAAACCGAAACTCCCAGAAATTGCTCATTTTTCACGGAAACTTCAGAGCCAAATGTTCCCCTCCTGGTTAATTTATTACAAGGGTTTTCCCCGTGATGAGTCGGTTGTGTGAAGTCGTGCCCGAATGCTACGATTCTAGAGCCACAAGATCAACTAAAATCATGAAACCAAAATACCAGATTTTTGTCCTTTTTATGGAAATATGAGAACCAGATCCCTTTTCCCAGAGGAGGGGATTTCCCCGTGACAAATCTACCATTGTCTGTATTCGTGCTGGAGTACTCAACACGCTGCTGAAAAAGCACAATCCAAAAATCCTCAGTCAATCCCTGCCTTTTATTCAGGCCTTAACCACTCACAAAAAACAGCCAATCAGTTCCGGTAATTTTCTCTCTGCACTTCCTGCTTGTTGGGAAGATCCGAGGCCGTGTTTTGTTTCGTTCCCTGAGGGGAAAAACCGTAGCGAATTCATTAATTGATAATGGTACGCACGCAAACCTAATAATACCCTGTAATACCGCTGTCGCATCCGTGCAAGGACACAGACTTCGGTAATACATGCATACACTATACGCTGTATTGAAGGACATTGGTACAACGCATGGTGTATAGGATTTTATTTAAAACAAACTCGCATAGATCGAGCTTAAAAATAATGCCATGTTTAATATTTACACCGACTTTTACCAATTATGGCACTGCATTTTAAAGAATAAGATACATGTAATGTGCATGAATCGGTCCCCCATTTTGGTAGAACAATAACAACGATTTTCATATTCTGGGAACTTTCGTATAACATAATTTACAAGGATTTCATTAAAGAAAAAGTACACAATCGACCTTAAAGGGGTCATGCATGTTGGGGTTTTTTTAATTAGAAAAATATTTTGTGCAACTTTCTGCTCCTCTTGAATGTATGTCAACTATTTGACGTCCCTCCCTATCAGAGGTTAATTGTATTAAAAAGTGCACTTCTAAACATTTCAAATTGACTCTGCTTTCCGGATTACTGAACTGAGGGTGCTGATGCTGTGATGTCATTTCAGGAAGACACTGTTCAGTTTTAGGGGGTTTCTGTTCAAACTGTGAATCCAAACATCTTACACGTACATGGGCCTTTTAACAAAATGATGCCTATTCGATACAAACATCAATTTCATTTGACGCGATATTATCGGAGTACTTTGGCCCGTCAATTTAAAAGAACCAAGTTGCAACTCACCTTTAAAAAAAATGTTTTGCTCTCGCGTGCAAACTGACTGAGAACATTAATGCGTTTGCCTCGTGACTATGAAACGCAAATCAGGCAGACATTAACGAACGGGACGACCCCGTAACAGCCCAGTCACAAAACAAATTGCAGTAATGAATACATGATTGCATCGTTGTTTATGTGCGCGGTAGACCCTCGGGCGCGATTGCACGAATCATGTTTGTATAAAGCTTGTCATCGTGAAATCATCCCATCGGGGGAAATACGGGGAGTCTTGGCGCGACGAATGTTATGATGTAAGAGTATAGTGCTTCTCATCGCATGCTTTCCGGGATTTTTAACGACTTTGGATTAAAATGCAAGATTAAAATTCAACAAAACGAGAGTGACCTTTTTTGTTACCAACGTACATACATCTACTTGTCACAAATACTTCTATCTTTATTTATACCTGACATATTCAACCTCTTTTTATGGCCCACGCAATGGATTGGAACCCTCCAAGTGCAGATTAATTTAGATCCCATTCGTTTCATCTTCAATATTTGAAAAACTCTTAGTAAGAGTGTCAGAGAGTTCTTAATGCTAATTTTACTTTCCATATTCAAGAGGAAATCAGTACAGTCGTCTTAGGCATAAGTTTCAGTCTCATTGTTTTATTGCTATTTGAACACAAAATTAATGTTGCCTGAATTCTTATTTCCACGTTTCTTTACCGGTACAGTAACAGCCAGTCAACAAGCCCACATGGGCCCATCCGATAGCAGGGGCGGAAATCCCTACCTGATTTCGTGGGTTTTCGCCAGAATATTCCTCTGGGCTTTTCCTCCCACCTCTAAAACTGAAATTTCTTCTCATTGTCTTCTCTCTACAGGTTTCTCCAGGCTTTCGGGCTACAGTGCCTAGGGCACTTTTGAGGGATCCTTGGTTTCATTACCAGAAAGAAATAAAATAAATAAATAAAATCCCGGGGGATGGGGAGGATATACCACCCCCTCCCAACGTTTTGACCAGGGGGATGGGCCATTGGATCACCCCCAATTTTTGCGTGATAAGAAACAAATCAAACAGCCAAAATGAATTAAATAGCTGAGAAAAAACACACAAAGCCATACAATAGCTTTAAATGCGCTGTTTGAGATTAGGTTAAGGCGAAAGCGCGCAAGTATATATAAGATGTATATCTGTATCATAAAAAACGCCCCTATTGCAATGTGGTGTCCCCCCGCCCCACCCGTACCCCTGCTTTTCGAATTTCCACGGCCGGGCAATTTTAGTAAGATTTTGGTAAAACTCTCCCCCCACTCACTATTCACTTAACAGGTGAATCAGCGGTTAACGCACTGCAATACTAGGTCAGCATCATTACCCGTAGACTGGCTTCTAAATAAAGATAAATTTTATCTCATATGGTTTGCCATTATAGACCAAGTATATTGTATGGTATCTGATTTATCACCAATGTGTATTTACGCTATATGGCCGCCTTTTGCAATCCCCAGGGTTTACGGAGAGCGGTTCGCTTCGATGAAGATACGCTGGTTTGATATTATCAGATAAATCATAAGGCGTTTTGTAAGAGTGTCATGTTAATTGCTGTGGTGAAGGCCTACGTGCAAAAATGCATCGCCCCTTACCCAATGCGGTCTAGACTGTAGCAAGTGGTTCTTAGTCATAGTTGCATTAACCCTGTGCCATGTACATCGAAGGAAACTCAGATGTTTTCAAAAAGGATTCGATGGCAAGATTAGTAGGGGAAATAATTAATTGCTTGCGCAACGTTATGTGCATTGCATTATAATTTAACAAATTAATAAACCATAAATATTTATTCAAATAATCACTTGTCTGGCTTTAACATTGAGGAAACGTTAAACAGACAAGTAATATTTTAATTAGAAAAAAAATTGTAAATTGTTTTGAACAAGTATCAGACGGAGAAGCTTGTTGCCGTTTTGAAAACCCGAGATGAGATTTAGGATGCCTCAAATCACATTTGATAAAATCTGACCTAAACATGTTTTTTATTATTATTGCCATGTTGTTAATCTGACATGCACTGTGATGCAAAACTGTGAATCTAGACGCTTGTTCCAGCCGATGTTTTCCCGATATCAAAAGAGAAAAAAAAGCTGAATCATGATCCTAACTGAATTTCGAACAACTCTCCTATTGTAAAATTCAAATCGTCCTGAAGCCTAAATGACACTCTCCTACTTTATCCCTCTTTCCATGGAAACAAACTTCACACCCAAAGGGTTTCTAAGTGCAGGCTTTCCGCTGTATTAATGTTACAACCCACGGCAAGTGAAAAAAATCTTTCTTTTCCCCTTTCAAAAACAAGAAATCCATAATGTTCTCAGGAGACAAAAACATCAGGAAAAACTAGGACGAGGCTAAGAGGTGAGGAAACGCCACGTAACGCACGAAAGCGTCTCTCTCGACGAGTTAGATCTGCCGCCTTTTAGCTCGGCCGCTCGTAGGAGTTCGAGGCACGTTTACAGACACTCGAGAAAGAGTGCAAAAAGCCCATGACCGGCAGATACCCGAGCTAATGGGGAGACTGTACATCTTTGGTGACACAGTGCACCCTTGGGAAAGTCTAGTAACTGGGCCGAGACGCAGTAAGGAGAAAAACAAGTTATCATGGATGGTTTACACGAAGGAAAAAATGTAGCTTCAGAGGATTTTGAGCGAGAGGAGGTATAGTCATCATGTATAGCTAGCGGTGATCTGGTCTCGCGCGATATCAATGCGCGTCTTGGATTTCAGAACCATCTGCGTGTTCCATTTCTAAGAGATGGACAAGACATGTGTTGTGTTACAAGACGAGTGTAATACATCCGGGTTAGTTGGATGGAGACAGGAGTTTGACTTAAATACACGGGGTTCAGGAACCTACATTCGCGCTGAGAGATATCGGCGGAGGTTCCAATCATGATTTTGACAAATTGCCAATAGGGGTAACGGGGAGATCTTAAGAAGATGCGAGGTGTTTCTGTCGAACCCTGATAATAAGAACACTGTTAATACAGCATCCTAATAACGAGGACAAATCTAGGTCCTCGGTTTCTCTGTTTCCATTACTGATAATACATGTAAGGTCGACCTTGTTATAAGGGAAGCTGTTGAGTTTATTGGAGAATTTCGTTAGACATTTTTTCAAGGTTATTATGATCACACCAAGGGACTACAGGTTAAATAAAAATGGCTCATATTTTTTTGCTGATTTTTCTTAATATGTTGTCTTTATTTTAAATTTGATATTTTCATTTGAAAGTAGGCCAGCTACTTAAACTTTGTTGAAGTAATAAATATATACAATCATTAAAAGAAAGTTAAAATGTACATTGGTATTTAAATAAATCAGTGCTGGTGAAAAGCAAATAAGAAAAACGCGATACATAATTATATACAAATCTACTATGCATTTCACTTAATTATCAAAATTCATAAAATGGCAATTAAATTTAAAGACGAAATCATATCTGAAGTCAATGTTAATCAAGACAATCATCCCGTCTTGCTTAATTAAACCTAGGTGGAAAAAAAACAATCACATATGGTATAGGAACTGATAGCTCAAAACTTTAAAATCAATAGTACTTGTGAAACTGAAAACAAGGACTTAATGCAAGTCTAATGCGTTTCACTGACGTCTTTGCCTCCAAATTAATGTTAAAAACAGCAAATCAGCCTCAATAATATCCGCAGTTAAACGTCAACAATTCCTGTTGACCGAGCAAGTTGAGAGCGGATAAGCGCTCTATTTACATTTCAAATGTCAACTAGAGATAACTATGTCACGTCATTTACGAGACTACGGCTGGGAATAACACACGGGTCAATGGGGAGTGGCTACAGCCGCTTCCATAGGCGCGTGTGTTGCAAGCCGTAGCCCAAGCCAGATTCTTAGTATTATCCTCAATCTAATTTCTTCTTCTTTTTCAGATTAAAGGCTTAAACCTTGACAAAGATGATCTCTGACTCAAGTCACAATAAATTGTTCTAAAATCGTTAGCAACCAGAAAGCACTCAGACAGCGCAAACCTCCGCCAAGGCTTCACAATTCCCGCCATATTGTATACCCAAAAGATATACTCATATAGTGGTGAAGAATCCTTCAAAAAATCCTGGATCCAGACTCAGATCAGGATCACTTCTAAAATCTTGTCGATTTGTACTTGTTCCAAGGACCACCCCTAATATTTCTTTCACGTAAATCCGTCCATAACTTTTTGAGTTATCTTGTTAACAGACAAACCAACCAACCAACCAACCAACAAAATCCGATGAAAATATAACCTCCTTTGCGGCGGTAATAAAAAAACCCCGATCATCTGGTGCCTTCTGAAACTCGACCAATGCTCCAACAAAATGATAGGAAATGTGACTCAGTCTACTGGTAACAAGTTATAATAATGATGTGGCCAATATTCACCTCTTAAGAAATATGCCCTTAGGCACCAATGCTTAGAAAAATCATGATTTTTTTTTAATCAATCGTAAACGCCCCGTTATCAAAAGCAGATTTTGATCGCACTCCTATCTGTATACATGAATAATGATGCTGATGTTCTGGCTGCGTAATCAGATCTCGCCATGGGTAGAGTGGTCGCTATTTGCTCGCTAACGTGAATCTATAATGATATTTTCCGTGTAGCACTCACAATCAGCACTCTATCGCATGGAGAACCACAGTCTTGTCATGAAGAAAACGCGCCTTGTAAAATTGCACGTGACAAGATATACAAGAGCGATGCTATGCACAGCTGAAAAGGGCACATGATCTTAATTGTCTCACTGAACATTGCATTAGGTAAAAGAGTTCTCTTTTTGGATTATCTACAAAAGCTTTTTGACTGCTAAGAATTTTTTTTGCATTTTTTTTTGGATCAAAAAGCGAGATGTCGAACAATTTTAGTCGACTTGAATTTTGATACACACATGTCGCTCAAAGATTACAGTGTTTACATTAATAATGTAAACCACCGAATTTACTGTCGGTGGATGAAAGTGACGTAGCAAGCACGTAGCACCCAGACATGAATATTCATGTTTCATAAATCTGGAATACAGCGTCATAATAAATTATATTTACATACATTCTTTACATTCTTAATGTCAAAGACGTATACAAATATTATATAGTGATGCCATTATAACATCGGTGGGATATGGTTTTAAAAATGATGTTTGTCTCGCCTTAGCTATATACGGCAGTTCAAAACAGAGACCAACTTTGAGAAATACCCAAGTGCATCATATACTGTTGAAATTGATAAACATTATTACCTTATCAAAGTCAAACGCCATTCTTTTATATAAAAAGATCAGGCAAAGTATTGGTATTGATTGGTACATTATGGTGCAGAGTATCCTATGTGTGAATAGAGGAACATACCCCTTAAGTAAGTACAATAATACCTGATGAATTGGATACAGAACAGTTGGATAGAGAACAGAGGTCAGTTTTTTATGCCGAGGTTTCTTCTAAGGGCTGGTGTCTCCAGTCACTGTTTCTTCTACAAGTTCTAAGATGTTGGTTGGACTATACAGAAGGTGATCCGTTAGCATTGATGGCCGATTCTTCAGTCTCTTCTTGTTTTGCTAGCCACTCTCTGACCATCCGAGCTCTCTCCTCCTTGCTTTCTCGGACATTCGGAAGCTCCTGAGATCCGAAGACGTAGGTGGCTTTATAGGCTCGCTCGTAGAGTCCCTCGTACGAGTCAACACCCTCAGAGAGAAGACTTACTCTACTACCAGCGTGTGAGTCTGTTTGGGTGGGGCTTGAGACCTGCACGGAGCAGAGCGACAGGTGACTAGGGCATCGCAGTGGGTCGGGCATGCCGTGAAGAGGGTGTTGGTGAAACTGTCTAACAAAGGGCGGGGTTTCCAGGTCACCGTGTCTCAAGTCACCACAGCTCTTGCTAAGACTTTCAACTGCACTTCGTTCCACAGCTAGGAAGGCCTTAGTACGAGGCGATCCCGTGGACGCCTTAAAGTCATCTTTCTCCAAAGCTTGGTTGTCGTTGGAGTTGACGTCTAGGCTACTCAGGGATCTGTGATTGTCCATGACAAGGGAGACTGGACGTTGGTTGCGCCGGCGTGAGAGGAGGGTATAGGTCGTGGGTGATTTGTCGTCAATTGCCGGCTCTCTCGATGCCAGATCCTTCTCGCTGAAGGACGTCGAGTCCGCGTCTGAGGGTTTACGCGCGCGTCCAGTCACGCAGGACGCAGAGGACGGCCTAGTGTGTCCCTTCGTCGCCATGATGGAAGTTGGTGATTTGGTGGAGCAGCACCGTTTGGGATCGAAGGCCCGAAGCCAGCCAAAATCGTCCGGTTTTTCACGAACTAGTTCGTTGTCTAGTCGACTACGCCGGCAGAAAGTTGGGGAGCTGTATAGGCTGAGTCGCTCGTCACGGGCTTGCTGGGCTAGCACGTCTTGCACTGAAGGCATGATGTGGTGACAGAAACAATCTAAGATGTACACCTGGTACGAGTAGTCCGCTAGACTGTTAGACGCTGCAACAGCCCAGGCACCGAATTACAAATGTGCTGAGAATCGTCCAAGACTCGCACACACCTTCGCAGCAGTGTTTCGCCAGTTATGTGTCCGCGTTGCTTATAATGACTCTGGCTCCAGTGATAAATGTCAGTATTGAGTGCGTAGGAGTATCAGCGGCTGGACTGAGTCATCTCGGAGCAGACATCCCATTTTTATCATCGACCGCTAACCGTGCCATTCTGCATACTAATTTTAAAATCGCTCATTGGACGTGCTGCGGCATGTCTCTTGTCTCGCGTTCAGTACGTGACCACAGTCGTGCGACGGCTGCCAGACCCAATATAGCAACTCATGTATTATTCCGCTGTTCGAGGTAGCGCTGCATACGCAGGCGTGCCTTGTAAGCCGACCTTATGCGCATGTGCAAAGTGGCGTTACGAAATCGGATACTTTTCGGAGCGGCGCCTGATCAAGTAAATGTCACCGTCAAATCATGGGAATCTCACTCAGGCCTGAGCTCGAGGTCACTTCCGGAGATATATACGAATAAAAGACATGATGCAACTTGACCTAGAAAGAGATTACTAATCTTTCTGTTCACTGACACACGATGACTTATTCCCAATAAAAAAAAAATCGTCATTTATACTTTAAAATGGAAATTTGACAGACCCCTTATAATATACTGTTTCTCTATTTAGATCGTCTTTGTGTATAATGGGCTCACGGTGAGGTACGACAAGAATTTGAACGATGCATGATTTCGTTACCAGAATACAATACTTTAAATAGTCCTTTGATCATTGATGTTGTCTGTTATCTAAATGTTATATTATTTGTGCGTTTTGTGTTCTATGTTAGATATCGTTTTATGATCGGTGAGTACTTCCCTATTGTCTTCTGCGAATTTCTACAGATACTTTTTTTTTTTTTTAAATAAATAACTGTACGTTGAAACCGAGGCATCCAGTGTTTCTTTCAGGCAAGGATTAACAAAGAAATTACGTATAATTGCTTAATACACTAAGGGCCTCGACTTGGCTGTTAATTGTCAATTCACGTACATCTACCTATAATAGTATATTAAAGGGAATGTACATCACGGTGCCGTAATTTTCAGAAATGAACTGTTTGAGGGGTTAGTATATAATAGATCAAATATTGTTACACTGACATGTTGAAGTTTTGTATTCGAAAATGCTGGAAAAACCAAGAAAAACAAAAATGTTCAAGTAGTCTGGTTCCCTGACTCCACTAAAGATGAAATGGATCAATTTATAGATACCGGAAAATTGTAAGGCAAGGGAACCAGTCTAGCTGGCCTGCACCCGTTCATGAACATGTAACCAATAACAAACACAATTTGGACTGGAAAAAATGGTAAATTTGGAGCAGTAGTTGAAAAATAAATAGGTTTTTCCAACAGTGGTCGGCCGACCACCGTTGGAAATTTATACAAAATACCACTTTTCTTGAAAATAACTTCACACCAGGTGCCATAATTGTACAGGATGCTTTTAGACTGCCATTTACCAAGATCCTAGTAAGGTATTTCGTAAAAATTTGTTAGTTTTGTTTTTCGATGCCTGCAAATGTTGTATATTCTCTTTAAGCCAAGAGCCCGACTTATACAGGGTACTTCCGCTACCCTGAGAGTCAAACAGCCTGAACCAATGCATGGGGAATTCTGTTAAAAGATACCAAGATCGCCCGATTCGGTCTAGTAGTGTTTTTGTTCTAGACCTTTTTTGTGTGAAACAACTTGGGGAGTCATTTTGGTCACGATGAATCTCATAACAGGTGACTTAATTGGAAGGAGGGATTAATTATTGTTATGTAATAATACCCCCATGAAAGATGTGTAATTCACAGAATAGGCTCTGCAGCAAAAACTGCTTGACCGAATCGGGAGATCTTGGTATCATATTTCTTCTAAAAAAAAATCTCCATCTATTGGTATAGGTGGTTTGAATGTCAAGGTAGTGGGAGCTTTTCCATTCCGTTTTAATGTTTTTGTAAGGGCCACCGTGTATTTCCGTAAGAGACCTCATACTATAAAGTCTCTTACGGAAATTTTCACAAGGGGGCGCACTACAGTAAAACGTCAGATTATTCCTGATGGAGGTAATTTAACTCACCCACGATTTTGATGCCCACATTGAAGTTCGTCGTTATATAGACATCGTTTTTCTAGACTATAGTTTTCCCCCTCCCCCAATACAAAGTGTTAGCTTTAATTTATATGATGGTTCATTTCACCGTGAGTTAACTTTACAAAGTCTATTTATAACCGATTTGCCAGCAGGGCAAGAGTTATACAATGACTATCAATTTTGAAATACATATTGCATTAAAGAAATCTCCAAGGTACATGTGAAGGAAATAAACGGCTCGCTAATGCTCTGTGATTTATCTTTTTACATCCGACTCCAAATTTAGAATGCAATTTTACCTCTATGCTCAGTCCAATCAGTCAATTAATCCCAAAAGTTAAAATTCATGAAGACAATTATAAGCCAATTTCCGTACGCACTGCCGCCGCCAAATATTCGAGACTGTGATTGGTCGACCGAACCAGCCGTGTTTAAAACACGTGGGTTAACACGTGAAATCCATTCAGACTCATAACAAGTCTTAAAACTTGCCTCAGGAACAAAAAAACTCCGATGGTAAATGCATTTAGAAGCATGGTTGTCTTTTTCAGTCTTGAGCGACACTTTGGGTATAGAACGCATATAGTACAGGATTAAGTCCCTGGAGGAGTCGGGGGATCTCCTAATGGCAAATGCAATGAGAAGCATCTCATGGTGGTCTTTTATTCAGTTTTGACCGACACTTTGGGGATAGAACGGATCCTGTTACAGGATTTAAGTCCCTGAAGTCTGTGCTTCAGGGGGGAAAAAAATCTCCTTATGGAAAATGCATTTAAGCATCTTCATGGTTGTCTTTATTCAGTCTTCACCGCCACTTTGCGGATAGAACGTATCCTGTTTGGATTGAAGTCCCTGAAGATGTGAAGACTGTGCCTCAACAGGAAAGGACTGAGAGTATGGATGATTATTAACTTGATTATGTTCATTCTTTTCAGAAAAGCATCGGCGTTGACTTACGTGATTAGAGAAATACGAGGAGCTGTAGGGGAGGGGGATTTGAAACAAATGCTGTGTCTATGGCCTCGGGTCTAAAGAGATTCAAGTTAAGTCCGAGCTGGAATCGAGACCAAGGTTTCGAAAACCCCTTATAGTCAGTTTTAAAGCGGGGGCGGCTGTAGGCTATACATTTTGACGGGATTTGTATACCCATCGTATAAATCCCGGTCATGTTCCGGCCATGATTAGGCCAAAAAAAAAACTATTCGGTCTCTGGTCAGACCAAAGTTCCGGGATTGACGCGGCTTTTTTTTTTTTTTTTTTGCTTTATTTTTTCTTCTTCAAGCTTGGATTGTACAGACAAGGTGGGGTACTATTTTGCTTTTTTGGTGTCCTCATGTACATTGGTGTCCACAATTTGCCTTGGTGCTCTCGATCATTTGCCTTGGTGCAATTTCCCATTCCTTGGTGCTCTTTGGTAAAAAAAAAATTGCGGAGGTGCGGCAATAGAGGGCGCTGTTGGAGCTACAGAAACATTTTTGAAAAAAAAAATTGACGTGCATGATTAAAATCGACGCGCGCGCTGACCAGAGACCGACTTTTTTTTTTTTTTGGCCTTACATTCCGCGTGAACGTACCAGGTTGTGTGTTCAGAACGCATGTCAACAGAAAAGAAGACATGTTTACGAAGGCCATAACCCCAAGGCTACGGATAAGTTGACTTAAAACTAAATACGGGATTTGGGATCAGAGTGAGGGGGCAGGTTACGGCTCTGGGCCGGTAAACCAATTCAACATCTCGTGTGGAGCAATGACATTTTTGGTTAAAAAATAAACAGTGATGCGTAAGCTTGCTATATATTGGTCAAGGACAGCTTGACGTGTTTTGTTTATCAAAACAAAATTTTTGTTAATTTAAAAAAGAGTTTACACATGCGCCAGCTTTGAGCTTGATAGAATGAACACTAACTCTGGTACGTAGCGTAACGCATAAGCACTGATTAAGTCGATTCTGGAAATATCCCTGTAATGAGTATCCTCCGGAGGATTAAAAAAATATCTTGTTGACAACTTTTGGAAGAGTTGTTTTGTATAATTGAACAGCGCCTAGGGTCGCGATCTCATGATGGCAAATGTCATCTGGACAGTGCGCCAAAAATATACCACTGTCGGAAGCGCGCGTAAAAGCACGCAGGTCAACGCGCGTGGGTAACACGTGCAAAGGATTACTGTGATAATGATATTTTCAGGCATACAAAACACAAAACGTACCGAAATACACGCACGATAAAGCAACAGTTAGACATATAATATAATAATATCGGAGTCTTATATAGCGCACGTATCTACCAACAATTAGGTACTCAAGGCGCTGGAAATTATGTCTTTTATTAAAGAAAGGTAAATAAAGTTTATGAGAAATAATGAGGCTCATTACAAGGTGCTGTGGCGCATTATTGCAGCCACTGCCAGAACACCGGTGCAAACCCCTTCTCTTAGCGATGTTACTGGGTTCTTTAACGTGCACAACACACGGAACCTACGGCTTTACGTCCCATCCGAAGGACGAAGCAATAATGGTAAAGTGCCTTGCTCAAGAGCACAAGCACCATGTTCCCACGGTCAGGATTCGAACCCATGTACCACGGCACACGAGTCGAACACCGTAACCATTGGACCACAGCACCCCACACCCCGTATTTTGGCCAAACTTCGTCGTCTATCCTTTGGATGGCAAACAGGGAATGGTATTCTATTTCCTGTAGTGTTAGTTTGGCGAGTCATTTCCATCTTTGCGGTCAACCTCGGGGGGATTTGTGTGCGGATCGCCATCTTTATTTTCGTGTTGCTTTTTGTCATTGTCAACGTCATTTTACCCCCAAATTTCCCTCGAAAATTCTAAACCCTGCCCTTTATGTATGACATACCTATAATGCTCTTAATGTTGCCAACTAGTTTGGAACTTGGAAGGTCAAATAATTAAGAAGTGGATTTTGTTCCCTTATAGGAACCGGGCTTCACCATAATTATTTGTATTAAAGAAGTCTCCCAAAGTTTTACATTTTGGACTACTTACTTATCTATTTCCGAAGGTGGTTGAAAGTACACATTTCTGGCTATGTAAAAACAGATGCCCCATGCACTCAACATGACAAGTTAGTTGTGCACTGAGCCGCTTAACTATTTTAATTGGTAAAATCATGCAGACGTAACATTTCAAAGCAATTCATTCTCTGATTAATAGCACCACTGATGTGCTTCATATGGAGACATGCCTTTAAATGCCTAAAACATTTTTGACAGTTCAGAAACATGTATGTGTCGATTCAGAGATAGGGATTGTAATTTATGAACAATTTCCCCCAATTTTTTCCCACTTTGCATCATGTGTATTATTGTTTATGGCTTATTCCTAACAGGCTTTTTTGTAAGTAAACAATATTTCCCTTCTTTAAAAAGCCGCGCTGTATGGCGCAGTCAAGGGCGCCCTCAGTCAGTCGACAGCCAACAACGAGGTTCTGTTGATGTACCCTAACGTGGCGCGGCCCCCAACGTGGCGCACTTTGATTTTTCGCTGTAGCGCCTACCTAGAGCAAACGTTTTAACTGAAATTTCACAGAAATCGAAATTTCATCAAGTTCTACACACTCCTGTTCATAAATCGCGAGTTAATTTCCCCGTAGCCTAACAAATTTAGAAGAAAAAACTATTTTGGCGTGATTTTGCGATATTATTTTCAAGTGCAAGGTGAATAACCCTTTGAAAATGCCCCCCCCCAAAAAAAAAATTCTGACAAACAGCTGGCTTGGTATGTACATAGAGATAATAATTATTTATCTGAATTTATCAAGTTGACAGAAATTCTTAAATGTTAATTTGGAATTTTCCGCGATTTGTTCATGTGCGCCACGTTAGGGAACAATCCACCAATTTTTGTCCAATTTCCGGACGCCACCGTTTTTGAATTTCGGATTAAGTTTTATAAAACTGAAATTGTTCACAGAGGTTAAATATCAATTGGCATTAATAAGGTAAAAGTACTAGTATTTTACTGCATGAATTTGAGGTTTGTCAACAAAGAGGTTTGGCAACACTACACGAGGAAAGTCGGGTAATTAGTGCGCCACGTTAGGGAACACGACTATAATTATTCTTGGCATGCTATGTGAGCGAAATTCAGTGGTAAAAAAAATCCTACCCCCCCCCCCAAAGCACTACACAAATATAGTGGTTATAATCACCGTTAATGATTTGTTTGGTCAACACGAATAGCTGCCTAAAATTTGAGTCAGTAGTGTCCAAAAGCATTAATTTTTGGTGACCCGATATTTGTTTGTCTTATCAATACTTTATAAGGCTAAATAGTCTAGACTTACATGAGCTGTCTGCTGAGTGCTGTATGCTACTCACACGACAATAATGTTGATATCATCAAACAACAGGCGGCGCTCTTCACAATTAACGGTGTCATGTCAATACGATCTTAAAATCCATTAATTCCCATTTCCTAAGCAAAAAGAAACACGGATAACGAAACCCAAAACTAATTCCCATTTCCTAAGCAAAAAGAAAAACAGATAACAAAACCCATATCCCATTTCCTGAGCAAAAAGAAAAACAGATAACGAAACCCATTTCCCAATTCCTAAGCAAAAAGAACAACGGATAACTTACCTATTTCCAATTTCCCGGGCAAAATCGGAGAACGGACTTCGAATCCAAAATCCCACTCTCGACAGCCAAACGGAAAACGAATAACGATTCCCCCCTCCCACTGTCCTATCGAGAAAGGAATGGCGAAGAAACTTTTTCGCAACTTCGTCCCCAGGGTTTACTTTATTGTAACTTTCTTTCCTATATTATGCTAGTGACAGTGCGTACCGCTGAACACCACGTCAACGAGATTGTATTTGACACCGTTAATTGTGAAGAGCGCCACCTTTTGTTTGATTATATACATGTAATATAGCTACAGCTGCGAACCAAAGATACGAACGGTGTATCATGGTAAGTTTGGACTATTTGTTTCTCAAAATTTAACTTCCTTTTCGGCGTACTGGAAAGATGCCCATATCTGGACATCACTAATTTTTCCCTACACAGTAACCTATGCCATCATTAAAAGGGATAATATGTCCAACAAATGTCGGATTTAGCAGGGAAAACCATGGCATGCGTTGTCAATGGTTTTTTGTAGGCCTAATTTACATGATTTATGCGCTAGGGCATGATCAAATGTTTCAACCCCCCCCCCCCATGTTGCCCCAGGTCCGATGTCGGGATTTGGTCACGTTTTTCATGCCCCAGGGTGGGGATTTTGGTCACTCAAATTACATTGTTACCATACCATGACGTACTACATGGAAAGGAAATCACTAGTCAGCTAGTTCGCCCCACGTTTGTGTAGGGGGTGTGTAAATCCCCCCTCCCCCACCCCTTTTTGTATCTTTTGTAAATTTGTCAAAAAAAATTGTATTTTTTTCTCAAATTTCATAATTATTGTCCACCAAATTCTTCAAACAATGACCTTTCCAAAAATGGCAGACGAAAACAATATTTGAAACTTATGACATGTATGAAGAAGGTTAAGATGTTAAAATAACTTGTTTTCTTTTGTTTCTTGAAGTTGACAGAGTTTGAAGGTTCTACCAAGGATGTCAACTGTGGAGCACATACAGGATGCAGAGCACACTGATGACGTATCACCATGGCAACGCCAAGTAAGGATCTTCCGGATGAAAAACTTAGTGATGTCATGAACAGGTCACGCAATCCGCCTTGTACTGTAGTGAAATCTAAATTATGCGAAAATACCTTGCGACAAAATCATGGATATCTCTTGCAGAGACTTATCAATCTTGAAGTAATCTTATGTGGAATACTTTTCTAATGAATGATATTATAATTGCTAATCCTGTCGTGTCATTTATTGTTCAATTTATTTAAAGGGAATATACAACATTTGCAAACATCTAAAAATAAAACTACCAAGTTTTTGCGAAATACCTTAATAGGATGTTGGTAAATGACAGTATAAAGCATCCTGTAAAATTATGGCACCTGGTATACTGTCATTTTCAAGAAAAGTGGTATTTTTGTATCAATTTCCAACGCTGATCGGCCGATCAGCGTTGGAAACAACTGGCTTTTTTTTCAAATACTGGACCCAATTGACCATTGCACTTGTTTGCAATCGATTACAAACCTATGAACGGGTAAGAGCCAGCTTGACTGGTTCCCTGACCTTACAATTCCCCAATGTATGTAAACTGCTCTGTTTCTTCTTATATGGAGTCAGGGAACCAGACTACAGGAAAATAATCGTTTTTCTTGGTTTTTATAGCATTTTCGAACCCAAAACCTCCAAAAAGTCAGTGTAACTATATTTGCTTTATATTTCCAACCCCCCAATTCCATCCATTTCTGAAAATTACAGCAAAAGCAAATGTATATTCCCTTTAAAGTCTTGTGTAGATTCAATAAGGTCTTTTGATATAGAAGTACAAAACACCTTTGTGACAAACTTCTGGGTATTTGATGTGTCATTTTGGATTTTTGGGGAAAAAAGTAATATGTTTCACTAAATTTTACCAATTTCGTGCATGCCATGTTTCCAATAATTGGCACATCTGGCAAGGGAACTGTAAGGAATGTGCTTTTAGGCCTCAGGGATCTTCTTAGCAATCTTCAAGCAATTTCATTTTTTGGCTAAAAACGGACTTGTGGAAACGACTCATAAACAGTTTAGGAGGCGATAAACATTATACTCCTCAAGTGTTTATTAAGAGATTTGGTTGAATGTACAGGATGTATGAAGACAAGCTAACATTTTCCCTCAAAATCAAAATTTAAAAACCATTGCCAATTTTGATTGGCCCCTACAAAAATAAGAAAATTCTTCTTTTTTTGTCTTTAATTGACTTCTACATTTAATTGCAGAATATGACATTTTCTTTTTGTGATTCGTGGCTCTGGACGAATTTTTTAAAGGGAAATAAAGTCCGAAATTGTAACTGGTCTGATTCCCACCTCGTATCCAAAAATTGCCTATTTCCAACAAGAAAACCTGCCTTAATTTTTGGAACCCTCATACACAGAATTGAGAGTCCCACATTTTCGGATTAGGAAGGCACAGTTCTAGCACTACAGTCAGTGGAGCTAATATTGGTCTATCTGTAAGGTTTGTAAAAAAAAACCTTACAGTTCTCAAAGTAGGGCTAGCTAGAGTTAGTCATGCTTGTAAGACACATGTACATTACCCCTAGTCTATCATGTCTATGGGGCCGGGGGGCCGTGCCCGTAGCCCCATAGTTCTAGAGGTTCATGTACATGGGTTATCCCATAAATTTGGGGTCCATACAAGTGTGAAGTTTTTCTGTCCCTGTTACATCTGACTTGTGTAATTTGCCACGACGTATCACACCCTAACTCCCTAGGCCTTTTTGCTAGGATGTAGCCTCAATCCTGCAAAATCCTCCAATTGGCCTCATGTAAAAATAGCATATAGCCTCAATCCTGCAAATTCCTCCGTTATTTCTTGAATATGGTCCATGGAGGGATGACCACTGCCTGAATCCTGCAAAATCCTCCGGCTATGTCTGTCAATGGTCTGAGGCAGAGGCAGTGACATCCTGGAGCAGTGCGGAGGATGTCAAGTATAATCAAGGACTAAATTTATGCACGGCTGAGCATAAACAACACAAGGTCCGGCCCAAGACCTTGACACAGTGCGTACTCCAAAATCAGCAACGCACTTTTGCCATGTAACCTCAATCCTGCAAATTCCTCCAATTTGCAAAAAGGATTTTGGAGGATTCAGGGCGGTTAGGGTTAAAATTGACTTCAAACTATTTTTGTTTGTCAGGTATTGTTGGAGGAAGAAGGCTGGTAGATGTGCAGTTTGATGCATTATTTGCTTAGCCATCGAGATTAGCACTTCAGGAAGATGGACGCAAAAGGACCTGAGCTAATTTGTCATCTGAGGTTCCTGGGGGAGGAGGAACTGTTCGTTTGTTCAACCTGTGGTCAAGTTTTACCTTCACTAAGTGATCTGTGCGCCCATGAAAGGGTGCACACAGATGAGAAACCCTTCGTTTGTGAGACCTGTGGTAAAGCTTTTATGGAAAGAAGTCATCTTCAACGACACGACAGGATTCACACTGCTGGGAAACCATTCGTTTGTGAGTCCTGTGGTAAAATGTTTATTCAGCAAATTGATCTGTACAGACACAGCAGAATCCACACTGGTGAGAAACCATTCGTTTGTGAGACCTGTGGTAAAGCCTTTGCTCGACAAAGTGGTCTGCATCAGCATAGCAGGGTTCACAGTGGCGAGAAACCATTCACTTGTGAGACCTGTGGGAAAACCTTTGCATACCAAACTGATCTATACAGACACGAGAGGATTCACACTGGTGAGAAACCATTTGTTTGTGAGACCTGTGGTAAAGCCTTCGCTCAGCAAAAAGGTCTTCGTCAGCATGGTAGATTACACACTGGCGAGAAACCATACATTTGTGAGACCTGTGGTAAAGCTTTCGCTGATCTATCTACTCTAAGCAGACATGAAAGGGTTCACGATGGCAAGAAACCATTTATTTGTGAGACCTGTGGTAAAGCCTTTGCTCAGAGAAGTGGTCTGTGTCAGCATGGCAGATTACACACCGGTGAGAAACCATTCGTTTGTGAGACCTGCGGTAAAGCCTTTACTCAGCAAACTGGTCTAAACAGACACGAAAGGGTTCACACTGGCGAGAAACCCTTCATTTGTGAGACCTGTGGTAAAGCCTTTTCTCGGCAATGTAATCTAAACAGACATAAAAAGGATCAGACTTGTGATAAACCATTCGTTTGTGAGACCTGTGGTAAAGCTTTTAATCGGCAATCTCATCTGATCAGACATGAAAGGTTTCACAATGGCCCTAATGACAAGAAGCCACTTGTTTGTGAGACCTGTGGCAAAGCCTTTACCCGGCAAACCCATTTAACCAAACATCAGAGTATTCACACTGGCCAGAGAGTATTCGTTTGGCATGTTTGGAAGCCGAGTGCTCAGTAAAACTTTCCTCAACCAAGCCTTGTGAAGACACTTAAAGACATCCTCATGACTGATAGAGCTATATTAGATAAATTAGATATTACTAGAGTGCTAACTCCTGATTCTTGTGCTTGGAGACGCCTTGAAGCCGTCCTGGGCGCAGACATTTTGAATTCATGTTCTATTTGTAGAGCATGATGAAATGAGATGGATTGAATTTTGAAAGTGTACTTTAAATGCAACGCACAAATAGCACATACGCAAACAACTTAAGTACGTCATTTGTTTAAAAAAAGCCATGGTTAATCATCTGCAGTGGACATGCGCACACGCGTTGGGCTGTTTGCGTAGAGTAAAATGTCACGCTCATTTGCTGATCTTGCGTTTCGGTTTTGAGTGTATTGGCTTTGATAACGCACCTGTATGGAATACAAACGCAGATATGCAAATAGACGTACAAAGGCCGTACAAAATGTCTAGTTCTCCATAGTTTGTGTACATTGTAAACATGGATGCGCCCAGCAGGCATCACTTTGAACATGAGTCAGAGCTCTAGTAATTTATAAGCCATAAGTTGTAAACAAAAAAAAATTATAAAAATAAATAAAATAAAACACAGTTGCCAGGATGCTTAAACTTGTATTAAGGCTAAGACGAAGCAAAAAATTTTAAAAAAAATTCGCCCCTGCCTGCTTTTTTCCCCAGCCTTTTTTTAATCAAACATTTGAAATAAATGTTTATTTTTCATGTTCTTCCCATTAAATTTGTAGCTATGTATGCACGTTTGCAATCCGTTAAAAAGCATCACAGCTTAATTCGATGCAAACGTATCAACAAAAGAGTCAAGAAAATTGAAGAATCCATCCTGGAAAATTATCCATCTTGCAAAAAAGCTGCCATTTCCCTTTTAAAAATACCGGACGAGAATTTCAAGAAACTACTTGTTTAGTTTTTACTTGGCCAATAATTTCAACTCGGTTTAATGATGATCAACTTTAATTGTCTGTTAACAAATATTAGCCAGATGAAATTTGAAAAGAAAAAAAATATATGAGTAGAACTGCAGGCCCTTAAGATCTTGCCTTAGTATTCATATTAATTAAACCTTTCCTTGTTCCGTCTCAATTAAATGTGTTTCCAAATTAAGACGTAAATCAACCAAACTACACGTCTCATGAGTTTCTTTCAATGAGTGAGTCTTTTTGCAGCTGAATTTTACTTTTTGGTGCCAGAAAAGTGCAATAAAAACATTTTCAGTGACTTGTCAGAATGTTGTCAACGGTTGAAATGTGTACATTTGCCATCGATTGATATCTCGTGGGACTTTGCTCTGTGCTACCTCCATGCTCTGTGTAAGTTTTTTTTTTGGGGGGGGGTCTGGCTTAATGGTTTTAAAATGAAATCGATTAAAGTAGCCCTAACTCAGCTGCATGGGCGTCGCCAGGATTTTTTCTAGAGGGGGGCAAACAATTGTTTTTGCCAAAAATTGCTTGTATTTCTCAACACATTCTCAATTTATCAGTTATAGAGGGGGGCAGGGTCATTTTGCCCCCCCCCCCCAACTCATTAAATTTACACCACTTTGTCTTCGGGCCTTTTTTTTTTTTTTTTTTTTGGCTTTTCCGGGGGGGGGGGGGCAAGTGCCCCCCCTTGCCCCCCCCCCCCCCCCCCCCCCCCCCCCCCCTCGCGACGCCCATGCTCAGCTGAATAAAAGTGGGAAATGCTTCTAAAACGAATTTTGTGATTGTTCCGGTTATTTCAAATTATTTCAATTCAATTAACATTAATTTGTTTCCCTTAAATGCATGAAGGAACGGAACAAGTAGTCTGGGGAGTGGGGGGGGGGGGGGGCGCAAAAATAATACGGAGAACGGTAGGCCTTTCGAGGTGATAGAGGGCGCACTACATGTACAACAGCGCGAAAATCATCCTTCATTGTCCTTGTACAAGCGGCGGGCGTTAAAATATTTAATCTTCTTAATCCAGAACAGGAAAGAAAGTTGTTTTTTTTCATCATATGTTGTCTCAATGAAGGTGAGTCAAGGGGGGGGGGTACAGGCGATGAAAGCACTATCACGACAGACTAATTGCAAAATAAATTTGGCTTCACTTAATAAAGGCATATGATAAAGGCCACACTTGGAACTTGGAACATTTCAGTGACATTAGCCCAGCTTTCCTCCCTACGTAACGGAGGGAGTCTAGGGTATGAAGTGCTGAAAACTGGGCGAAAACATTTCTGACCAATATTTTTAATATTTTTACCTTGTTGGAGAAGCCAATTTTTTACGTCGTAGTATTCTATGTGTCCTTATCTATTGGGCTGCTGGGTTCAGAAATTCCATATGCGATGCTGACCGACCTTAATCTGGAAAATAAACTCAAAAGCAACGTTAAACTTGTACGTGTTTGTAGACTCTTTTCATCAGTTTCTCACCGCCGAGTCTACTGTAGTCGTACATGATGTATGTCTGTGCAGCGTGTAGTCTGGTTCCCTAGACCGGACTAGCTGGAGTTACCCAGCCCTGAGTTTTATCATTGGGTTGTCTATTAGGGCTGGAGCGAATATTTCTCGTAACTTGTAGTATAGGCAAAAATTTTTGGAAAATGTTCAATTTTGTCCCCGTTACACACTAATTGCAACTGTAACTCACCCCAAACTTGCCTGGAATAACCATTACACAGGTCCTTGAAGTAAAAAACGATCCACGATGAAGATTCAGCCTACAATTGCAGTGAAAACAGGAGGAATAACCGCTAACTTGACAACCTTGCTGGATTGGCCAGGACCGCAATTGGTTTGTGCACAAAAAAATTGTGTACAATGAATGGCGGTCGATTAACAGGCACAGAGAGCGATCGCTGTCAACTACTCGTTTTTGCCGGCTGCGCTGGCTGTTGGCGCATGACGTCACGCGGAAGCGTAACACCTGATGACTGTTTCATGCACTAATATAAGGTTTACCACTCGCATCACAGCTTTGGTACTGGAACCGCAACCAATAGTGCATGAAACAGTCATCGGGTCATACGCTTCCGCGTGACGTCATGCGCCAACAGCCAGCGCAGCCGGCAAAACTGTATTGTGGAACAGGGTCTTAAACTATAAGTACATGATTACCAGAACATGTTTGTTAAATACCCAATGATTGATTGAGAATATACTTGGTGGTTATCCTCTTCAGAACTCCTCGAGGAAGTCTAACTAAGAGGCTTGGAGAGTGGCCTGTGGAATATAACACCACTTTGTTTATCATGCAGGAATGACACCAGTTTTTCTACCCAGGCCTATGTTGGTTGACTCAGTGAATCATGGACAGTAAAGATACTTCTCCATCAGCATCTAGTAAGTAGGGCCAGCAGCTGTACAAATTTCAAAGACTTTTCGGTGTAACTTGATAAGACATGTAACCTTAATAAGTAACCTTGAGACGACGTGTACGACAATAATAGAGAAATTGATCATAGCCTTCATGACGGATACAGCAGCGGGATTGGTGCCTGCCCACCTCCCCCCTCCCCCTGCTGCCTACCCCTACCCCTCCCCCCAGCAGTGACCTAAACGTTATCAAATTAGAAGTTTTACTTCAGAGAGCCCTTTGCCCACCCTGTGACCCCCCCCTCCTCTCCCCCTACCCCCTCTCTGGATCCACCCTTGAGCCCAGCCATATTTTATAAATTCCAAAGATATATGAAAGCCGAAACTGACATCAGAAAATCATGTCCAGGACAGAATGAACATTTCACGATTTAAGAAATATTCTCTTGGCCGTCAACTACTAAATCCTTCAAAATCCAAAGTGTTGCATTTTGAAATATTGGTTAACATTTTTTTTTCAACCCCCCCCCCCCCCCCCCCACTAACAGATGTAGCCAGTGGGATTATGGTGGACCAGTTCTCCAGACAGGTAGCCAGCAACCTCGGCCATGATTGGTTGAAGCAGAGCAAGGAACCATTCGTTTGTTTAACCTGTGGTCAAGCTTTTCCTTCACTGAGTGATCTTTGCGCCCATGAAGGGGTGCACACAGATGAGAAACCATTCATTTGCGAGACCTGTGGTAAAGCCTTTACTGAACGAAGTCATCTGCAACGACACAACAGGATTCACACTGGTGGGAGACCATTTGTTTGTGAGACCTGTGGTAAAGCCTTTATTAAACGAAGTGAACTGCAACGACACAACATGATTCACACTGGTGAGAAACCATTTGTTTGCGAGACCTGTGGGAAAGCCTTTACTTACCAAATCCAATTAAACAGGCACAACAGAGCTCACACTGGTGAGAAACCATTCATTTGTGAGACCTGTGGTAAAGCCTTTACTGAACGAAGTCATCTGCAACGACATAACAGGGTTCACACTGGTGAGAAACCATTTGTTTGTGAGACCTGTGGTATAGCCTTTACTCAGCAAGGTAGTCTGCGTCAGCATAGCAGGGTTCACACTGGTGAGAAACCATTTGTTTGTGAGACTTGCGGCAAAGCCTTCCCTCATAAAAGTACTCTAAATAATCATGAGAGGGTTCACACTGGTGAGAGACCATTTGTTTGTGAGACCTGTGGTAAAGCGTTTACTCAGCAATGTAGTCTGCATAAGCATAGCAGGGTTCATACTGGCGAGAAACCATTTGTTTGTGGGACTTGCGATCAAGTCTTTTCTCATCGATGTACTCTACACGTTCATGAGGGACTGCACACTGGTGAGAAACCATTCGCTTGTGAGACCTGTGGTAAAGCCTTTGCTCGGAAATATAGTCTTGGTCTGCATAGCAGGGTACACACTGGTGAGAAACCATTCAGTTGTGGAACCTGTGGGAAAGCTTTCATTGATCATTCTTCTCTAAAGACACATCAAAGGGTTCGCGATGGAATGAAACCATTTGTTTGTGCAACCTGTGGTGAAACCTTTGCTCGGAAATGTGGTCTGCGGCTGCATAGCAAGGTACACGGTGAGAAACCATTCGTTTGTGAGACCTGTGGTAAAGCCTTTGCTCGGCAAAGTGTTCTGCGTCAGCATGGCAGGGTTCACAGTGGCGAGAAACCATTGCTTGTGAGGCCTGTGGTAAAGCCTTTGCTTACCAAACTGATCTATACAAACATGAGAGGGTTCACACTGGTGAGAAACCGTTTGTTTGTGAGACCTGTGGTGAAGCTTTTGCTCAGCAAAAACGTCTTCGTCAGCATGTTAGATTACACACTGGCGAGAAACCATACATTTGTAAGACCTGTGGTAAAGCTTTCGCTGATCTATTTACTCTTAGCAGACATGAAAGGGTTCACGTTGATAAGAAACCATTCATTTGTGAGACCTGTGGTAAAGCCTTCCCTCATAAAAGTATTCTTCACATTCATGAGAGGGTTCACACTGGTGAGAAACCATTCGTTTGTGAGACCTGTGGTGCAGCCTTTACTCAACAAGGTAGTCTGTGTAAGCATAGCAGGGTTCACACTGGTGAGAAACCATTTGTTTGTGAGACCTGTGGGAAAGCCTTTGCTCAACAAGATAGTCTGCATAAGCATAGCAGGATTCACACTGGTGAGAAACCATTTGTTTGTGAGACCTGTGGTAAAGCCTTTTCTCGGAAATGTCATCTGCGTAGGCATAGCAGGGCTCACACTGGTGAGAAACAATTCATTTGTGAGACCTGTGGTAAAGCTTTCGCTTATCGTTCTGCTCGAAGCCGACATGAAAGGGTCGACGATGGCAAGAAACCATGTATTTGTGAGACCTGTGAGAAAGCTTCTCCTTGGCAAAGTGAACTTGACAGACATAAGATGGTTCACACTGTCAAAAAAGAATTTGTTTTGCACGTTTGGAAGTCCAGCAGTGAAGCTTTTTCCTCAACCAAGTCAGATGAAGACACATAAACAGGTCTAGATGGCTGTTTATAAACCATTATTTGTATTGAAAATAAATAAATATAATACTACTACTAATAATAAACTTTTGAAAAAAATTAAAGGAATTGCCTGGATGCTTAAACTTTGATTAAGGCCAAGTGGCCAAGTAAGTAAATAAACTAGTTTCTTGTCCCCTACCACTTCTTTTTTCCCCCAGCCGCCTTCTTTTCTTTTTTAATCGAACAGTTGCAATATGTCTTCTTTTTTAAAGTTCTTCCAAGTGAATTTGTAGCTATGTATGCAAGATAACAATCAGTGCAGAAGCGTTACTGCTTGTTTGGTGACAAAATTAAGGCAAGGATCAGCAAAATAGTCAAGAAAATGGAGGAATCCATCTTTAAAAATCTGCCATTTTGAAAAAAAAAACCTGCCATAGCCTTGAAAAAAAAGTGACTAGAAAGTTTTGTCTTATTTGAACTCTGGTGAAAACCATTTGTTTGCGATTCTTTTGGATGCAAAAGTATCAGCAGAAGAGACAAGGTAATGGAATAGTCTATCGCTAAAAATGTGCCATCTTGAATAAATCAGGCTGCCTCCTTTTTTTTATTAAAAGCCAGGACAAAAAACTATTGGGTGTTTTACTCAGCCGAATGATTCAACTCGGTTTATTGACGCTCAGATTTTATCTCTGCATTGTCTTTTAACAAATACTAGGCGGGTGGAATTTGAAAAAACAAACAAATTTGAGTATAATTTCAATCCTGTTACATATTGTCTTTTGTAATTCTTATTTGTAAGCTTTCTTTGACATTCTTCACCAAATTCTTAAATGTGCACAGGCAGTGGTGTAACTACTAGGGTCAATTATTCGGGGGGGGGGGGGGGGGGGGGGGGGACGGGACATGGGGTGCATCCATTTTGCAAGGGGGCACTAAAGGCAAATGATATGTCTCATTCCAACGGCGCTGTGTAATTTACTTAAGTGCAATCATTTTATGTAGTGTAGACATATTTAATAAATGTACAATTATAACATAAGGGAGTAGTTTTATTATATCATTCAATCATTCTCCACTTGTGGATCTGATGCAAGATTGTGCAGTTTCCAGTGTTTGATACCTGTCGTACTTTCTCAATTAAATGTGTTTCCAAATTAAGATGTAGAACCAGAATACGAGTCTCCGAGTTTCTTTCAATGAGTGATGCTTTTTATAAGTTTGAATGTTGCTTTCTGGTGGCAGAAAAGATCAATAAAAAGATTTTCAGTGACTTGTCAGAATGCTGTCAATGTTTGAAGATTGTATATGCCATTGATTGATTTTGTAGTGGCAGGATTCTTAAGTTTTTTTTTAAAGGGGGGGGGAGGTTTTTTTGCTTAATATATTTTACTATCTTGCCCTAGCTTGAAGTACTTTGATGATAATTTGAAACGACTTTTGTGATTGTAGCCGGTAATTTGTAATTATTAAAATTCAATTTACTTCCAATTTGCTCCCCTTTTATAATGCAAGGGGGGGGGGGGTGCAAAATTAACACCGAGTATTAATGGTTGGCCTCCGAGTGATAGAGGGCGCACTTGCAGTGTGCATGCAACACTTCACCGAACGTACGTACGTCAACATCCGGTTGTAAATAGAAAAAAGCCAAACACAGCACAGTCTCTATAGAGGCTAACTTCGTAATGTAAGGCGTGCGTGCGTACACTATAGTTTACATTTTGTAATCCAGAACAATTTGACAACAATGCCAACACTTCATTATGACTTGCTGTAGCGCTGAACATTGTACCAGTTCTTTGCATTTGGAAGAAATCACCTGAAAATGTAAGTGAATACACTCGAGGAAAAAATGTAACCTGACTAGATAGACCCGTGAACGTGGCGTTGTACTGCATAGGCCTAGTCGTGTTCCCTAACGTGGCGCACTTTCCTCGTGTAAATAGTGTTGCCAAACCTCGTTTTTGACAAACCTCAAATTCATGCAGTGAAATACTGGTACTTTTACCTTATTAATGTTTGCTATTTAACCTCTGTGAACAATTTCGGTTTCATAAAATTTAGATAGTGGATATTTTGCCGGAGGTAATGACGGCAAACTAACGTTTACTAAAGGTTTGCAGGCGGCAATCCATATCAACAGAGGGCGCTGTACTCTTTAAGATAGGGCTGAATTATAAGATGTATTAAATTCCCACCAAAAGTTGTGTAGCACGTTTGGTGTAGTGGTTAAGCAAAGGCTCTAGTAAGCGGGATGACTCGGGTTCGATTCCGACCGCAGCACATTTTAAAGTTTTTTTTTTGTCATCCCCAAATAAATAAGAATATTCTTCTTTTATTATTTTAACATGTCTCAAACATTTTTTTGCAGAGTATACTATTACATTTTCTTTTTCAGATTTGTGGCTCTGGAGGATTTTTTTTAAAAGGGAAATAAAGTCCGAAATTATAAAATGGTCTGAATCCCATCTTGTGAATACGAGGTTACAACGATAATTTTGGCATGGAGCCAGACTAAAATTTGTCACCGGAAAATGTTTAAGTACAAAAAAACAGTAACTTCGCATGTTCAGTGCATATCCGGCAAACTAACGTTTACTAAAGGTTTGCCGTCTCCAGCAAAATATACACTGCCTAAAATTTAATCCGAAATTCAAAAATGGTGGCACAAATTGGCGGAGTGTTCCCTAACGTGGCGCACTTGAATTTAATCTGGGAAAATCTCAAATTAACATTTAAGAATTTCTGTAAACTTGATAAATTCTGATAAATCATTATTATCTCTACTTAAATCCACAGCAAAAAAGAACAAAAAAACTTTGGTGTCTCCCATTCCCAACCCCGGCTCGACCACCAAATGCTCTCTCTATCTCAGCTTGGAAACCCCAGCATAAATGGGAGTCCCAGCCGAGCCAAACCCAATTGTATCCCGTCAAGCAACCCCAACCCAATGATCAAACCCGAACACAACAAAAAATCCCCAGTATAAGGGCCTACTATGAATATTTCCCAAAAAACTGTTAGTAGTCTTGTCTCAACAAGCGACTTGTCTCAACGGACGACTTGTCTTTCCATTTAACGCACATACATGTACGGTCGAGTTGTCCCAACGGTTGAGTTGTCCCAAGTCGAGTTGTCTCAACGGTCGAGTTGTCTGTCCCCCAAATGATTGATTGATTGAGAATAAAAATAACACCATTTTGTTTATCATTCAGGAATGACACCAGTTTCTCTACCCAGGCCTATGTTGGTTGACTCAGTGAATCATGGACAGTAAAGATACTTCTCCATCAGCATCTAGTAAGTAGGCCAACAGGTGTACAAATTCACAATCTTCCGTTGTAACTTGATGAGAATATAGAGAAATAATTGACTTTGATGCCCACAACTTGTACATTGCAAAACAATAGAGAAATAGATCATAGCCTGAGTGACGGATCCAGCAGCGGGGTGCAGATGGGGTGCCCCCACCCCCACCAATTTTAATATGATAAAGTTTTAGTCCCTGCAGTGCAGGGGGGTCTACCCCCTGCACTGCAGTGACCAAAACTTTATCATATTAAAAATTTGTTTTACTTCAGAGAGCCCTTTGCCCCCTCCTCCCCTCTCCCTACCCTCCTCTCTGGATCCACCCTTGAGCCCAGCCGTATTTTTTTAATTCCAAAGAGATGTGAAAAGCCAAAACTATTGTGTTCAAGCCATCAGAAAATCATGTCCAGGACCGAATGGACATTTCACGTTAGAACAAATAGTCTCTTGGCCATCCAGAACTAAATCTTTCAAATTCCCAAGTGTTGCATTTTTGAAATATCGGTTAATATTGTTTTGTTTTTCCCCCACCACTAACAGATGTAGCCAGTGAGATTATGGAGGACCAGTACTCCAGAAAAGTAGCAAGCAACCTCGGCCATGATTGGTTGAAGCAGAGCGAGGAACCATTCGTTTCTTCAACCTGTGGTCAAGCTTTTCCTTCACTGAGTGATCTTCGTGCACATGAAATGGTGCACACAGATGAGAAACCATTTGTTTGCGAGACCTGTGGGAAAGCCTTTACTGAACGAAGTCATCTGCAACAACACAACAGGATTCACACTGGTGAGAAACCATTTGTTTGCGAGACCTGTGGGAAAGCCTTTGCTCAGAAAGGTAGTCTGCGTAAGCATAGCAGGGTTCACACTGGTGAGAAACCATTTGTTTGCGAGACCTGTGGGAAAGCCTTTACTTACCAAACCAGTCTGAACAGTCATAAAAGGATTCACACTGGTGAGAAACCATTTGTTTGTGAGACCTGTGGTAAAGCCTTTGCTGACCAAACCAATCTGAACAGACATAAAAGGATTCACACTGGTGAGAAACCATTTGTTTGTGAGACCTGTGGTAAAGCCTTTACTCAACAAGGTAGTCTAGATATACATGGCAGGGTTCACACTGGTGAGAAACCATTCGTTTGTGAGACCTGTGGTAAAGCCTTTGCTGACCAAACCAATCTGAACAGACATAAAAGTATTCACACTGGTGAGAAACCATTTGTTTGTGAGACCTGCGGTAAAGCCTTTACTGAACAAAGTCATCTGCAACGACACAACAGGATTCACACTGGTGAGAAACCATTTGTTTGTGAGAACTGTGGTAAAGCCTTTATTAATCAAAGTGAACTGCAACGACACAACATGATTCACACTGGTGAGAAACCATTTGTTTGTGACACCTGTGGTATAGCCTTTGCTCAGAAAGGTAGTCTGCGTAAGCATAGCAGGGTTCACACTGGTGAGAAACCATTGGTTTGTGAGACCTGTGGTAAAGCCTTTACTTGCAAAACCAGTCTGAACAGTCATAAAAGGATTCACACTGGTGAGAAACCATTTGTTTGTGACACCTGTGGTAAAGCCTTTGCTCAGAAAGGTAGTCTGCGTAAGCATAGCAGGGTTCACACTGGTGAGAAACCATTTGTTTGTGAGACCTGTGGGAAAGCCTTTACTCGACAAGGTAGTCTAGATATGCATGGCAGGGTTCACACTGGTGAGAAACCATTTGTTTGTGAGACCTGTGGTAAAGCCCTTGCTGACCAAACCAATCTGAACAGACATAAAAGTATTCACACTGGTGTGAAACCATTCGTTTGTGAGACCTGTGGGAAAGCCTTTACTCAGCAAGGTAGGCTAGATATTCATAGCAGGGGTCACACTGGTGAGAAGCCATTTGTTTGTGCGACTTGTGGGAAAGCCTTTGCTCACCAAACCAATCTGAACAGACATAAAAGGGTTCACACTGGTGAGAAACCGTTTGTTTGTGAGACCTGTGGTAAAGCCTTTACTCAGCAAGCCCATCGAAACATACATGGCATGATTCACACTGGTGAGAAACCATTTGTTTGTGAAACCTGTGGGAAAGCCTTTGCTGACCAAACCAGTCTGAACAGACATAAAAGGATTCACACTGGTGAGAAACCATTTGTTTGTGAAACCTGTGGGAAAGCCTTTACTCAGCAAGGTAATCTGCGTTTGCATAGCAGGGTTCACACTGGTGAGAAACCATTTGTTTGTGAGACCTGTGGTAAAACCTTTGCTCACCAAGCCAATCTGAACAGACATAAAAGTATTCACACTGGTGAGAAACCATTTGTTTGTGAGACCTGTGGTAAAGCCTTTACTCGACAAGGTTCTCTACACAGACATGAAAGGGTAGACACTGGGGAGTAGGCATTCGTTTGGAAGTCCAGCAGTGAAGCATTTTCCTCAACCAAGTCAAATGAAGATACATAAACAGGTCAAGATGGCTGATGATAAGCCATTTTTGTAGAAATAATAATAAGAAATACATTTGCAGGATGCTTAAACTGTTATTGATCCTAACAGTCCTGAATCCTCCAATTTTCATGTGATTTCTCACACACCCTTGGGAGTTAAGGCCAAGCAGAAAAACAAACATTGTCTTGTCGCTGCCTGCTTCCTTTTGTCCAGCCGCCTCTCCTTTTTATGCCCCGCGGCGAAGCCGAAGGGGCATACTGTTTCCGCCTTGTCCTTCCGTGGGTGGGTGGGTGGGTGGGTGGGTGGGTGGGTGGGTGGGTGGGTGGGTGGGTGGGTGGGTGTGTGGGTGTGTGTGTCCGGACAAATCTTGTCAGTGCGATAACTTGAGAAATACTTTACATATGAACTTCAAATTTGGTTTGTGGATTGTCTTTGGTAATCCTAAGAAGCCTTTTGCATTTGAGGCCGAAAGGTCAAGGTCACAGTGGCTGAAACAATAGAAATTTTGTCAGCGCGATAACTTGAGAAATACTTTACATATGAACTTCAAATTTGGTTTGTGGATTGTCCTTGGCAATTCTAAGAAGCCTTTTGCATTTGGGGCCAAAAGGTCAAGGGTCAAGGTCACAGTGGCTGAAACAATAGAAATTTTGTCAGCGCGATAACTTGAGAAATACTTTACATATGAACTTCAAATTTGGTTTGTGGATTGTCCTTGGTAATCCTAAGAAGCCTTTTGCATTTGGGGCCGAAAGGTCAAGGGTCAAGGTCACAGTGGCTGAAACAATAGAAATTTTGTCAGCGCGATAACTTGAGAAATACTTTACATATGAATTTCAAATTTGGTTTGTGGATTGTCCTTGGCAATTCTAAGAAGCCTTTTGCATTTGGGGCCAAAAGGTCAAGGGTCAAGGTCACAGTGGCTGAAACAATAGAAATTTTGTCAGCGCGATAACTTGAGAAATACTTTACATATGAATTTCAAATTTGGTTTGTGGATTGTCCTTGGCATTCCTAAGAAGCCTATCGCATTGGGGGTCAAAAGGTCAAGGGTCAAGGTCACAGTGGCTAAAACAATAGAAATCTTGTATTTATTCTGAGATCATAGGGATTAGGGATTAATTCATATAAAACCTACAGAAGACACTAATGCTGTCAATGAACGTTCCATTTGACCAAGGTACATGTAAGTTGATGTTAGAGTGGTGTTATGTCATGGAAACAGTCACGGTTGCGGGGCATTTGTGTTTGTAAACACACCTGACTTGTTTTTTTTTTTTTTTATCAAACATTTGCCATATAAATATTTATATTTTTTAATGTTCCTCCACTCATTTTTTAGCAATGAATGTACATGCATGTTATAAGCTAGTTCGGTATTTCAACTGTGCATGAGCTCAAAGATATGGGTCACGGTTCATTCGGGATAATCGAAGGTTTGTAAGGCGCATGAACGCAGGCGCACGACGCTTGCGTGATAGTTACCTTCAGAATGGGCGTGTGCGTAACATCGCGTAACATCGCGTCAATGATGTTATCCTGAATGGGTCATTGAAATACCGAAGTGGCTTATTAACAATCTGTTAAAAAGCATCACGTCTCATTTAGCCACAAAGTATCAGCAAAAGAGTCAAGAAAGTAGAAGAATCCATCTTGGAGGATGTGCCATCTTGAGAAAAAAAGCTGTCATCTGCCTTTGAAAAAGTAAAAATCCTGACAAGAAACTATTTGTTTTGTTTTTACTTGGCCTAATGAGTTCAACTTGGGTTTAATGATGATCAATGTTTGTCTGTGCATTGTCTTTTAACATGGTATGGAATTTAAATAGAAAAAATATATGAGTAGAACTTGAAATATTGTCTTTTTATTCTTATTAATTTTGATACATGTCTTACTGTAACTCCCTTGGACATTCTTCACCAAATTCTTCACTGTGCACATGCAGTGGCGTAACTACTAGGGTCAATTATTCTGGGGGGGGGGGGAGACCTGGGGTGCATCCATTTTGCAAGGGGGCACTAAAGGCAAATGACATGTGTCATTCCAACAGCGCTGTGTAATTTTGGTTCAACCTAAGATTTCAGATGATGTCATGGGGTGTGTACTTACACAACTGATTGTGCACAACATCATTGTTACCTATGGTTTACTGTAACTTGCCCGCATTTTTTCGATGAAAGAGTTTTAGGGTCATTGTGTTTAAATGGTGATATATTTTGAATAGATTGTGCTATTTCAGTAATTTTTTCATCTACCAGTTTTTTATGAAATTGGCTTTCCAGTCATTATTATTTTTGGTGCTACATACTGTTTTAAAATATAAAATATATTTTTTGAGGTTTGGGTTCCGCTTGTTTTTACTCACCCTATATTACGATGTGTATAACTGATGTAAATATGCTGGTATTGGCCATTTTCAAGACTTACAAAACTTGGTTTGTACAGGTGATTTCCCAGGTAAATGTAATTGTGAATTATTTTAAATAATACAGAGTTCATCATAAGAGCGGTTCCTTGTTCATAGAACAAATGCATGTACATGTACTTTATAACGATAGTTATGAAGGTGTCCAATGTTGCACTAAAATGTTTTGAAAAGAAATGGTTCATTTTTTAGGAAAGTTTAATTAGTGCGCTCAGTTTATGGAGTGTAGAAATATTTAATAAATGTACAATTATAACATAAGGCAGTAGTTTTATTATATCATTCAATCATTCTCCAATTGTGGATCTGATGCAAGATTGTGCAGTTTCCAGTGTGTGATACCTTTCATTGTACTTTCTCAATTAAATGTGTTTCCAAATTAAGATGTAGAACAACCAGAATACGCGTGTCTGAGTTTCTTTCCATGAGTGACGCTTTTTACAATGAATTTTACTTTCTGGTGGCAGAAAAGATCAATAAAACGCTTGTCAGTGACTTGTCAGAATGCTGTCAATGTTTGAAGTTTGTATATGCCATCGATTGATTTTGTAGTTGCAGGATTCTTAAGGTTTTTTTTTAAGGGGGGGGGGTGAGTTTTTTTGCTGAATATATTTTACTATCTTGCCCTAGCTTGAAGTACTTTGATGATAATTTGAAACGACTTTTGTGATTGTAGCCGGTAATTTGTAATTATTAAAATTCAATTTACCTTCAATTTGCTCCCCTTTTATAACGCAAGTGGGGGGGGGGGGGGGGGGGGGGGTGCAAAATGAACACCGAGTATTAATGGTTGGCCATCCGAGTGATAGAGGGCGCACTTGCAGTGTGCATCAACCATCAAACCAACCTCGTCCCCATTGCTTACTTTATTTCCAACCGCGTTTCAGGTAGTGGTGGGCGCGTACTGCTCGACACCCCGGGGACGAGGTTGCCATCAAACGTCAACATATCCGGTTGTAAATAGAAAAAAAATTAGTACAGTCTCTGTCTGTAGAGGCTACATTCGTAATTTCAGGCGTGCGTGTGTATACGATAGTTTACATTTTTTTTGTAATCCAGAACAATTTGACAACAATGCCAACACTTCGTTATGACTTGCTGTAGCGCTGAACATTGTACCAGTTCTTTGCATTTGGAAGAAATCACCTGAAAATGTAAGTGAATACACTCGAGGAAAAAATGTTATAACCTGACTAGCTTAGCTAGACCCGTGAACGTGGTCGTGTTTCCTAACGTGGCGCACTTCGAAGCTTACCTAGCTGGAGTTACCCAGCCCTGAGTTTTATCATTGGGTTGTCTATTAGGGCTGGAGCGCATTTTTCTCGTAACTTGTAGTATTTGCAAAAAAAAATTGGAAAATGTTCAATTTTGTCCCCGTTACACACTAATTGCAACTGCAACTCACCCCAAACTTGCCTGGAATAACCATTACACAGGTCCTTGAAGTAAAAAACGATCCACGATGAAGATTCAGCCTACAATTGCAGTGAAAACAGGAGGAATAACCGCTAACCTGACAACCTTTCAGGCATGGCCAGGACTGCTATTGGTTTGTGCACCAAAAAAATTGTGTACAATGAATGGCGGTCGATTAACAGGCACAGAGAGCGATCGCTGTCAACTACTCGGTTTTGCCGGCTGCGCTGGCGTTGGCGCGTGACGTCACGCGGAAGCGTAACACCCGATGACTGTTTCATGCAGTATTGGTTGCGGTTCCAGTACCAAAGCTGTGATGCGAGTGGTAAACCTTATACTAGTGCATGAAACAGTCATCGGGTGTTACGCTTCCGCGTGACGTCACGCGCCAACGCCAGCGCAGCCGGCAAAAACGAGTAGTTGACAGCGATCGCTCCCTGTGCCTGTTAATCGACCGCCATTCATTGTACACAATTTTTTTTGTGCACAAACCAATAGCAGTCCTGGCCATGCCTGAAAGGTTGTCAGGTTAGCGGTTATTCCTCCTGTTTTCACTGCAATTGTAGGCTGAATCTTCATCGTGGATCGTTTTTTACTTCAAGGACCTGTGTAATGGTTATTCCAGGCAAGTTTGGGGTGAGTTGCAGTTGCAATTAGTGTGTAACGGGGACAAAATTGATCATTTTCCAATTTTTTTTTGCAAATACTACAAGTTACGAGAAAAATGCGCTCCAGCCCTAATAGACAACCCAATGATAAAACTCAGGGCTGGGTAACTCCAGCTAAAGCTTACCCAACTTTCCTCGTGTAAATAGTGTTGCCAAACCTCGTTTTCGACAAACCTCAAATTCATCATGTTCATGCAGTGAAATACTGGTACTTTTACCTTATTAATGCTTGCTATTTAACCTCTGTGAACAATTTCGGTTTCATAAAATTTAGATAGTGGATATTTTGCCGGAGGTAATGACGGCAAACTAACGTTTTACTAAAGGTTTGCAGGTGGCAATCCATATCAACAGAGGGCGCTGTACTCTTTAAAATAGGGCTGAATTATAAGATGTATTAAATTCCTACCAAAAGTTGTGTAGCACGTTTGGTGTAGTGGTTAAGCAAAGGCTCTAGTAAGCGGGATGACTCGGGTTCGATTCCGACCGCAGCACATTTTAAATTTTTTTTTCTCATCCCCAAATAAATAAGAATATTCTTCTTTATTATTTTAACATGTCTCAAACATTTTTTTGCAGAGTATACTATTACATTTTCTTTTTCAGATTTGTGGCTCTGGAGGATTTTTTTTAAAAAGGGAAATAAAGTCCGAAATTATAAAATGGTCTGAATCCCATCTTGTGAATACGAGGTTACAACGATAATTTTGGCATGGAGCCAGACTAAAATTTGTCACCGGAAAATGTTTAAGTACAAAAAAACAGTAACTGCGCATGTTCAGTGCATATCCGGCAAACTAACGTTTACTAAAGGTTTGCCGTCTCTGGCAAAATATCCACTGCCAAAATTTAATCCGAAATTCAAAAACGGTGGCGTCCGGAAATTGGGCACAAATTGGCGGAGTGTTCCCTAACGTGGCGCACTTGAATTTAATCTCGGAAAATCTCAAAATAACATTTAAGAATTTCTGTAAACTTGATAAATTCTGATAAATCATTAGGGCCTATTATCTCTACTTAAATCCACGGCAAAAAAACCAAAAAAAACTTTGGTGTCTCCCAACCCCGGCTTGACCACCAAATGCTCTCTCTCTCAGCTTGGAAAACCCCAGCATAAATGGGAGTCCCAGCCGAGCCAAACCCAATTGTATCCCGTCAAGCAACCCCAACCCAATGATCAAACCCGAACACAACAAAAAATCCCCAGTATAAGGGCCTACTATGAATATTTCCCGAAAAAAAACTGTTAGTAGTCTTGTCTCAACAAGCGACTTGTCTCAACGGACGACTTGTCTTTCAATTTAACGCACATACATGTACGGTCGAGTTGTCTCAACGGTCGAGTTGTCTCCACGATTGAGCTGTCCCAAGTCGAGTTTTCTCAACAGTCGAGTTGTCTGTCCCCCAAATGATTGATTGATTGAGAATAAAAATAACACCATTTTGTTTATCATTCAGGAATGACACCAGTTCTACCCAGGCCTATGTTGGTTGATTCGGTGAATCATGGACAGTAAACACACTTCTCCATCAGCATCTAGTAAGTAGGCCAACAGGTGTACAAATTTCACAATCTTCGGTTGTAACTTGATGAGAATATAGAGAAATAATTTACTTTGATGCCCACAACTTGAACATTGCAAAATAATAGAGAAATAGATCATAGCCTGAGTGACCGATCCAGCAGCGGGGTGCAGATGGGGTGCCCCACCCCCACAAATTCTAATTTGATAAAGTTTTGGTCACTGCAGTGGGGGGGGGGGGGGGGGGGGGGGGGGCCCTCCCCACTGCAGTGACCAAAACTTTATCAAATTAAAATTTGGTTTACGTCAGAGAGCCCTTTGCCCCCTCCTCCCCTCTCCCTACCCTCCTCTCTGGATCCACCTTGAGCCCAGCCGTATTTTTTTAATTCCAAAGAGATGTGAAAAGCCAAAACTATTGTGTTCAAGCCATCAGAAAATCATGTCCAGGAACGAACGGACATTTCACGTTAGAAAAAATAGTCTCTTGGCCATCCAGAACTAAATCTTTCAAACTCCCAAGTGTTGCATTTTTGAAATATCGGTTAATATTGTTTTGTTTTTCCCCCACCACTAAAAGATGTAGCCAGTGAGGAGGACCAGTACTCCGGACAGGTAGTCAGCAACCTTGGCCATCATTGGTTGAAGCAGAGCGAGGAACCATTCGTTTCTTCAACCTGTGGTCAAGCTTTTCCTTCACTAAGTGATCTTCGTGCATATGAAATGGTGCACACTGATAAGAAACCATTCATTTGTGAGACCTGTGGTAAAGCCTTTACTGAACTAAGTCATCTGCAACGACACAACAGGATTCACACTGGTGAGAAACCATTTGTTTGCGAGACCTGTGGTAAAGCCTTTACTAGACAAAATCATCTGCAAGGACACAACAGGATTCACACTGGTGAGAAACCATTTGTTTGTGAGACCTGTGGTAAAGCCTATACTTTTCAAGGTAGTCTAAAAATGCATAGCACGGTTCACACCGGTGAAAAACCATTTGTTTGTGAGACCTGTGGGAAAGCCTTTGCTCAGAAAGGTAGTCTGCGTAAGCATAGCAGGGTTCACACTGGTGAGAGACCATTTGTTTGTGAGACCTGTGGGAAAGCGTTTACTCAGCAAAGCCAATTAAACAGACACAACAGGGCTCACACTGGTGAGAAACCATTTGTTTGTGAGACCTGTGGTAAAGCCTTTACTGAACGAAGTCATCTGCAACGACATAACAGGGTTCACACTGGTGAGAAACCGTTTGTTTGTAAGACCTGTGGTAAAGCCTATACTTTTCAAGGTAGTCTAATAATGCATAGCACGGTTCACACCGGTGAAAAACCATTTGTTTGTGAGACCTGTGGGAAAGCTTTTACTCAACAAGGTAGGCTAGATATTCATAGCAGGGGTCACACTGGTGAGAAACCATTTGTTTGTGAGACTTGTGGGAAAGCTTTTACTCTCCAATCCAATCTGAACAGACATAATAGAATTCACACTGGTGAGAAACCGTTTGTTTGTGAGACCTGTGGGAAAGCCTTTGCTCAAAACTATATTCTGCGTTTCCATAGCATGATTCATACTGGTGAAAAACCATTTGTTTGTGAAAACTGTGGTAAAGCCTTTGCTCAGAAAGCTTGTCTGCGTTCGCATAGCATGATTCATACTGGTAAGAGACCATTTGTTTGTGAGACCTGTGGGAAAGCCTTTACTCAGCAAGGTAGTCTAAATATTCATAGCAGGGTTCACACTAATGAGAAACCATTTGTTTGTGAGACCTGTGGTAAAGCATTTACTCGGCGGGGCCATCGAAACACACATAGCAGGGTTCACACGGGTGAGAAACCATTTGTTTGTGAGACCTGTGGTAAAGCCTTTAATCGGCGAGGTAGTCTGCATCTGCATAGCAGGGTTCACACTGGTGAGAGACCATTTGTTTGTGAGACCTGTGGGAAAGCCTTTACTCGGCAAGGTACTCTAGATCGGCATAGCACAGTTCACACTGGTGAGAAAACCATTTGTTTGTGAGACCTGTGGTAAAGCCTTTACTCAACAAGGTAGTCTAGATATGCATAGCAGGGTTCACACTGGTGAGAAACCATTTATTTGTGAGACCTGTGGGAAAGCCTTTACTCAACTAAGTAGTCTAGATATTCATAGCAGGGTTCACACTGGTGAGAAACGATTCATTTGTGAGACCTGTGGTAAAGCCTTTGCTCTGCAAGGTAGTCTAGATGTTCATAGCAGGGTTCACACTGGTGAGAAGCCACTCATTTGTGAGACCTGTGGGAAAGCCTTTGCTCACCAAACCAATCTGAACAGCCATAAAAGTATTCACACTGGTGAAAAACCATTTGTTTGTGAGACCTGTGGGAAAGCCTTTGCTCACCCAACCAATCTAAACAGACATAAAAGGGTTCACACTGGTGAGAAACCATTTGTTTGTGAGACCTGTGGGAAAGCCTTTACTGAGCAAGGTTATCTGCGTTTGCATAGCAGGGTTCACACTGGTGAGAAACCATTTGTTTGTGAGAACTGTGGTAAAGCCTTTACTCAAAAAAATAATCTGCGTTTGCATAGCAGGGTTCACACCGGTGAGTAACCATTTGTTTGTGAGACCTGTGGTAAAGCCTTTACTCGGCAAGGTTCTCTACACAGACATGAAAGGGTAGACACTGGTGAGTAGGAAGTCCAGCAATGAAGCATGTTCCTCAACAAGTCAGATGAAACAGGTCTAGATGGCGGATGATAAGCCATTATGGTAGAAATAATAATAAGAAATACATTTGCAGGATGCTGAAACTGTTACTGACCCTAACAGTCCTGAATCCTCCAATTTTCATGTGATTCTCACACACCCTAGGGAGTTAAGGCCAAGTAGAAAAACAAACAGTGTCTTGTCCCTGCCTGCTTCCTTTTGTCCAGCCGCCTCTCATTTTTTTTTTTTTTGGTCAAACATTTGTCTTATAAATATATATATATATTTTTTCATGTTCCTCCACTCATTTTTTAGCAATGTACATGCATGTAATAAGCCTGTTCTGTATTTCAACTGTGCATGAGCTCAAAGATATGGGTCACGGTTCATTCGGGATAATGGAACGTTTCGAAGGCGCATGAACGCAGGCGCACGACGCTTGCGTGATAGTTACCTTCAGAATGTGCAAGTGCGTAACATCGCATAACATTGCGTCAATGATGTTATCCCGAATGGGTCATTGAAATACCGAAGTGGCTTATTAACAATCTGTTAAAAAGCATCACGACTCATTTAGCCACAAAAGTATCAGCAAAAGAGTCAAGAAAGTAGAAGAATCCATCTTGGAGGATGTGCCATCTTGAGAAAAAAAGCTGTCATCTGCCTTTGAAAAAGTAAAAATCCTGACAAGAAACTATTTGTTTTGTTTTTACTTGGCCTAATGAGTTCAACTTGGTTTTATTTTTTTTATTTTTTTATTTTAAATCTTTAGACAGTTCATATGTACAATCTAAAATGTAAGCAGGGGCTGTCACGGAATGAATAAAAGTATAAAAACTGTCATCAAATGATGTGCTCATCCATACCCCTGATTACAATTAAGGTACAATTACAAAGGTTCAGATAGAAATCGATAATGATAACCGAAATGAAAAAACAAACCCCAAAACTGGAAAATATCAAGAAGACCCCCTCCACATCAAAAAGAAAAAACGCACCAAAACAATGGCCACCCCAGAGCTGTATAAACAGGACTAAAGACAATTGGAATTCCCATCCAAGTAAAACAATCCGAAAAAGGGCTAATAAAAAGGGCTGAAAAAAGTACTGATAAAAAGGGATGGGAAAAAAAAAAAAGGCTGATAAAAATACTCATATATTTTTCTATTTAAATTCCATATGACTGGGGCCAATTTCATAGAGCTGCTTAAGCACAAAATTTGCTTAAGCACAAAAATTTTGCTTAAGCACAAAGGTTTAATGATGATCAGTGTTTGTCTGTGCATTGTCTTTTAACAAATACTGGGCCCAATTTCATAGAGCTGCTTAAGCAGAAAATTTGCTTAAGCACGAAAAAAACATTGCTTAGTAAAATTAGGTTACCGGCCAAAACTCTATGTAATGTACATTGCTTGTGACTGGTATTTAGCTGTTGTTTACTTAGCATAACAATCGCATGGAGTTTCGGCCGGTAACCTGATTTTATTAAGCAAGACGTTTTTGTGCTTAAGCAAATTTTGTGCTTAAGCAGCTCTATGAAATTGGCCCCTCAGTCATATGGAATTTAAATAGAAAAATATATGAGTAGCACTTGAAATATTGTCTTTTTATTCATATTAATTCTGATACATGTCTTACTGTAACTCCCCTGGACATTCTTCACCAAATTCTTCACTGTGCACATGCAGTGGCGTAACTACTAGGGTCAATTATTCTGGGGGGGGGGGAGACCTGGGGTGCATCCATTTTGCAAGGGGGCACTAAAGGCAAATGACATGTGTCATTCCAACAGCGCTGTGTAATTTTGGTTCAACCTAAGATTTCAGATGATGTCATGGGGTGTGTACTTACACAACTGATTGTGCACAACATCATTGTTACCTATGGTTTACTGTAACTTGCCCGCATTTTTTCGATGAAAGAGTTTTATGGTCATTGTGTTTAAATGGTGATATATTTTGAATAGATTGCACTATTTCAGTAATTTTTTCATCTACCAGTTTTTTATGAAATTGGCTTTCCAGTCATTATTATTTTTGGTGTTACATATTGTTTTAAAATATAAAATATATTTTTTTGGAGGTTTGGGTTCCGCTTGTTTTTACTCACCCTATATTACGATGTGTATAACTGATGTAAATATGCTGGTTTGGGCTATTTACAAGACTTACAAAACTGGATTTGTAAAGGAATGATTTCCCAGGTAAATGTAATTGTGAATTATTTTAAATAATACAGAGTTCATCATAAGAGCGGTTCCTTGTTCATAGAACAGATGCATGTACTTTATAACGATAGTTATGAAGGTGTCCAATGTAGCACTAAAACGTTTTGAAAAGAAATGGTTCATTTTTTTGGAAAGTTTAATTAGTGCGCTCAGTTTATGGAGTGTAGAAATATTTATTAAATGTACCATTATAATTTAAGGGAGTAGTTTTATTATATCATTCAATCATTCTCCACTTGTGGATCTGATGCAAGATTGTGCAGTTGCCAGTGTGTGATACCTTTCATTGTACTTTCTCAATTAAATGTGTTTCCAAATTAAGATGTAGAACAACCAGAATACGCGTCTCTGAGATTCTTTCAATGTGTGACGCTTTTTACAATGAATTTTACTTTCTGGTGGCAGAAAAGATCAATAAAACGCTTGTCAGTGACTTGTCAGAATGCTGTCAATGTTTGAAGTTTGTATATTTGCCATCGATTGATTCTGTAATAGCAGGACTCTGCTCTGTAAAACTTTTTTTTTTAAGGGGGGGGGGGTTGCTTAATATATTTACTATCTTGCCCTAGCTTGAAGTACTTTGATGATAATTTGAAACGACTTGATTGTAGCCGGTAATTTGTAATAATTAAAATTCAATTTACCTTTAATTTATTCCCCAAATGCAAGTTGTGGGGGGGGGGGGGGGTGCAAAATTAACACCGAGTATTAGTGGTTGGCCATCCAAGTGATAGAGGGCGCACTTGCAGTGTGCATGCAACACTTCACCGAACGTACGTCAACATCCGGTTGTAAATAGAAAAAAAACAAAAAATTAGTACAGTCTCTAGAGGCTAAATTCGTACATTAGTCATTACATTACATTTTGTAATCCAGAACAATTTGACAACAATGCCAACACTTCATTATGACTTGCTGTAGCGCTGAACATTGTACCAGTTCTTTGCATTTGGAAGAAATCACCTGAAAATGTAAGTGCACTCGAGGAAAAAATGTTATAACCTGACTAGCTAGACCCGTGAAAGTGGTCGTGTTCCCTAACGTGGCGCACTTCGAAGCTTACCCAACTTTCCTCGTGTAAATAGTGTTGCCAAACCTCGTTTTTGACAAACCTCAAAATCATGCAGTGAAATGAAATACTGGTACTTTTACCTTATTAATGCTTGCTATTTAACCTCTGTGAACAATTTTGGTTTCATAAAATTTAAGGTAGTGGATATTTTGCTGGAGGTAACGCCGGCAAACTAACGTTTACTAAAGGTTTGCAGGCGGCAATCTATATCAACAGAGGGCGCTGTACTCTTTAAGATAGGGCTGAATTATAAGATGTATTAAATTCCCACCAAAAGTTGTGTAGCACGTTTGGTGTAGTGACTAGTGGTTAAGCAAAGGCTCTAGTAAGCGGGATGACTCCGGTTCGATTCCGACCACAGCACATTTTTAAGTTTTTTTTCTCATCCCCAAATAAATAAGAATATTCTTCTTTTATTATTTTTATAACATGTCTCAAACATTTTTTTGCAGAGTATACTATTACATTTTTTTTTTCAGATTTGTGGCGCTGGAGGATTTTTTTAAAAGGGAAATAAAGTCCGAAATTATAAAATGGTCTGAATCCCATCTTGTGAATACGAGGTTACAACGATAATTTTGGCATGGAGCCAGACTAAAATTTGTCACCGGAAAATGTTTAAGTAAAAAAAAACAGTAACTTCGCATGTTCAGTGCATATCCGGCAAACTAACGTTTACTAAATGTTTGCCGTCTTCGGCAAAATATTCACTGCCTAAAATTTAATCCGAAATTCAAAAACGGTGGCACAAATTGGCGGAGTGTTCCCTAACGTGGCGCACTTGAATTTAATCTCGGAAAATCTCAAATTAACATTTAAGAATTTCTGTAAACTTGATAAATTCTGATAAATCTCTCTCTCTCAGCTTGGAAAACCCCAGCATAAATGGGAGTCCCAGCCGAGCCAAACCCAATCGTATCCCGTCAAGCAACCCCAACCCAATGATCAAACCCGAACACAACAAAAAATCCCCAGTATAAGGGCCTACTATGAATATTTCCCAAAAAACTGTTAGTAGTCTTGTCTCAACAAGCGACTTGTCTCAACGGACGACTTGTCTTTCAATTTAACGCACATACATGTACGGTCGAGTTGTCTCAACGGTCGAGTTGTCTCAACGGTTGAGCTGTCCCAAGTCGAGTTGTCTCAACGGTCGAGTTGTCTGTCCCCCAAATGATTGATTGATTGAGAATAAAAATAACACCATTTTGTTTATCATTCAGGAATGACACCAGTTTTTCTACCCAGGCCTATGTTGGTTGACTCAGTGAATCATGGACAGTAAAGATACTTCTCCATCAGCATCTGGTAAGTAGGCCAACAGGTGTACAAATTTCACAATCTTCGGTTGTAACTTGATGAGAATATAGAGAAATAATTGACTTTGATGCCCACAACTTGAACATTGCAAAATAATAGTGAAATAGATCATAGCCTGAGTGACCGATCCAGCAGCGGGGTGCAGATGGGGTGCCCCCACCCCCACAAATTCTAATTTGATAAAGTTTTGGTCACTGCAGTGGGGGGGGGGGGGGGGGGGGCCACTGCAGTGACCAAAACTTTATCATATTAAAAATTTGTTTTACTTGAGAGAGCTCTTTGCCCCCTCCTCCCCTCTCCCTACCCTCCTCTTTGGATCCACCCTTGAGCCCAGCCGTATTTTTTTAATTCCAAAGAGATGTGAAAAGCCAAAACTATTGTGTTCAAGCCATCAGAAAATCATGTCCAGGACCGAATGGACATTTCATGTTAGAACAAATAGTCTCTTGGCCATCCAGAACTAAATCTTTCAAACTCCCAAGTGTTGCATTTTTGAAATATCGGTTAATATTGTTTTGTTTTTTCCCCACCACTAACAGATGTAGCCAGTGGGATTATGGTGGACCAGTACTCCAGACAAGTAGCCAGCAACCTCGGCCATGATTGGTTGAAGCAGAGCGAGGAACCATTCGTTTCTTCAACCTGTGGTCAAGCTTTTCCTTCACTAAGTGATCTTCGTGCACATGAAATGGTGCACACAGATGAGAAACCATTTGTTTGCGAGACCTGTGGGAAAGCCTTTACTGAACGAAGTCATCTGCAACGACACAACATGATTCACACTGGTGAGAAACCATTTGTTTGTGAGACCTGTGGGAAAGCCTTTGCTCAGAAAGGTAGTCTGCGTAAGCATAGCAGGGTTCATACTGGTGAGAAACCATTTGTTTGTGAGACCTGTGGGAAAGCCTTTACTTACCAAACCAATCTGAACAGACATAAAAGGATTCACACTGGTGAGAAACCATTTGTTTGTGAGACCTGTGGTAAAGCCTTTACTCAACAAGGTAGTCTAGATATTCATAGCAGGGTTCACACTGGTGAGAAAACATTCGTTTGTGAGACCTGTGGTAAAGCCTTTACTCAACAAGGTAGTCTAGATATGCATGGCAGGATTCACACTGGTGAGAAACCATTCGTTTGTGAGACCTGTGGGAAAGCCTTTACTCAACAAGGTAGTCTAGATTTGCATGGCAGGGTTCACACTGGTGAGAAACCATTTGTTTGTGAGACCTGTGGTAAAGCCTATACTCTGCAAGGTAGTCTAGATCGGCATAGCACGGTTCACACTGGTGAGAAACCATTTGTTTGTGAGACCTGTGGGAAAGCCTTTGCTGACCAAACCAATCTGAAAAAACATAAAAGGATTCACACTGGTGAGAAACCATTTGTTTGTGAGACCTGTGGGAAAGCCTTTGCTCACCAAACCAATCTGAACAGACATAAAAGGGTTCACACTGGTGAGAAACCGTTTGTTTGTGAGACCTGTGGGAAAGCCTTTGCTCAGCAAACTGATCTAAAGAATCATGACACAGTGCACACTGGTGAGAAACCATTTGTTTGTGAGACCTGTGGGAAAGCCGTTACTCAGCAAGGTTATCTGCGTTTGCATAGCAGGGTTCACACTGGTGAGAAACCATTTGTTTGTGAGACCTGTGGGAAAGCCTTTACTCAGCAAGGTAGTCTGCGTTTGCATAGCAGGGTTCACACTGGTGAGAAACCATTTGTTTGTGAGACCTGTGGTAAAACCTTTACTCAAAAACATAATCTGCGTTTGCATAGCAGGGTTCACACCGGTGAGTAACCATTTGTTTGTGAGACCTGTGGTAAAGCCTTTACTCGGCAAGGTTCTCTACACAGACATGAAAGGGTAGACACTGGTGAGTAGGCATTCGTTTGGAAGTCCACCAGTGTAGCATTTTCCTCAACCAAGTCAGATGAAGACACATAAACGGGTCTAGATGGCGGATGATTAGCCATTATTGTAGAAATAATAATAAGAAATACATTTGCAGGATGCTTAAACTGTTACTGACCCTAACAGTCCTGAATCCTCCAATTTTCATGTGATTTCTCACACACCCTAGGGAGTTAAGGCCAAGTAGAAAAACAAACAGTGTCTTGTCCCTGCCTGCTTCCTTTTTTCCAGCTGCCTCTCATTTTTTTTTTTATCAAACATTTGCCATATAAATATTTTCATTTTTTTTATTCTTCCTCCACTCATTTTTTAGCAATGTACATGCATGTAATAAGCCAGTTCTGTATTTCAACTGTGCATGAGCTCAAAGATATGGGTCACGGTTTATTCAGGATAATCGAACGTTTCAAAGGCGCATGAACGCGGGCGCACGACGCTTGCGTGATAGTCATCTGCAGAATGGGCGAGTGCGTAACATCGCGTAACATCACGTCAATGATGTTATCCCGAATGGGTCATTGAAATACCGAAGTGGCTTATTAACAATCTGTTAAAAAGCATCACGGCTCATTTAGCCACAAAAGTATCAGAAAAAGAGTCAAGAAAGTAGAAGAATCCATCTTGAGAAAAAAAAGCTGTCATCCGCCTTTGAAAAAGTAGAAATCCTGACGAGAAACTATATGTTTTGTTTTTACTTGGCCTAATGAGTTTTACTCTCGGTTTAATGATGATCATTGTTTGTCTGTGCATTGTCTTTTAACAAATACTGGTCGTATGGAATTTAAATAGAAAAAATATATGAGTAGCACTTGAAATATTGTCTTTTTATTCTTATTAATTCTGATACATGTCTTACTGTAACTCCCTTGGACATTGTTCACCCAATTCTTCACTGTTCACATGCAGTGGCGTAACTACTAGGGTCAATTATTCCTGGGGGGGGGGGGACCCTGGGGTGCATCCATTTTGCAAGGGGGCACTAAAGGCAAATGACGTGTCATTCCAACAGCGCTGTGTAATTTTGGTTCAACTTAAGATTTCAGATGATGTCATAGGGTGTGTACTTACACAACTGATTGTGCACAACATCATTGTTACCTATGGTTTACTGTAACTTGTTTGCATTTTTTGGATGAAAGAGTTATAGGGTCATTGTGTTTAAATGGTGATATATTTTGAATATATTTCGCTATTTCAGTAATTTTTATCTACCAGTTTACGAGTCTCTGAGTTTCTTTCAATGAGTGATGCTTTTTATAAGTTTGAATGTTACTTTCTGGTGGCAGAAAAGATCAATAAAAAGATTTTCAGTGACTTGTCAGAATGCTGTCAATGTTTGAAATTTGTATATTTGTAGATTGATTGATATTGTTCAGCGGGATTTTGCTCTGTGAATTTTTTTTTTTAAGGGGGGGGGGGGGTTGTGGTTGGCTTAATAAATTGAAAATTGTGCCCTAGGCTAGCTGAAGTACTTTAATGAGTTTTGACTCATGAAAATGTTTTAAAATGACTTTCGTGATTGACCTTGTAATTTCTAATGCAAAGTTAACCCCCTTACCATTACAAAAAAATTACATAGAAAAAAAAGTTTCACCAAATTTTGAGGAAAATGCAAGGTTAACCCCTTACAATTTGAAACTTCCCTAAAAAGTCAAATTTTGCCCAATTTTGATGAAAATGCAAGGTTAACCCCTCACAATGGAAATTTCACTGAAGAGAAACATTTTGCCCAATTTTGTTGAAAATGCAATGTTAACCCCTTACAATTAAAAATTTCGCAGAAAAGGCTAAATTTGCTAAATTTTGATGAAAATGCAAGGTTAACCCCTTACAATTAAAATTTTTGCAGAAAAGGCTAGATTTGCCAAATTTTGATGAAAATGCAAGGTTAACCCCTTACAATGGAAATTTCACTGAAGAGAAAAATTTTGCCCAATTTTGTTGAAAATGCAAGGTTAACCCTTACAATTTGAAACTTCCCTAAAAAATCAAATTTTGCCCAATTTTGATGAAAATGCAAGGTTAACCCCTTACAATTTAAAATTTCGAAGAAAAGGCTAAACTTGCCAAATTTTGTTGAAAATGCAAGGTTAACCCCCTTACAATGTGAAACTTCCCCAAAATGTCAAATTTTGCCCAAATGTGATGAAAACGCAAGGTTAACCCCTTACAATTGAAATTTCACTGAAGAGAACAATTGTGCCCAATTTTGTTGAAAATGCAAGGTTAACCCCTTTTACAATTTGAAACTTCCCCAAAAAGTCAAATTTTGCCCAATTTTAATGAATATGCAAGGTTAACCCCTTACAATTAAAAATTTCGCAGAAAAGGCTAAATTTGCCAAATTTTGATGAAAATGCAAGGTTAACCCCTTACAATTTTAAATTTCCAAAAAAGACAAATTTTGATGAAAATGCAATTCTTACCCCTTATAATTTTTAAACTTGCCAGAAAAGACACGTTTAGACCACTTTTGATGAAAATGCAAGTTTAACCCTTACAATTTAAATTTTCGCAGAAAAGGCTAAACTTGCCAAATTTTGATGAAAATGCAAGGTTAACCCCTTTACAATGTGAAACTTCCCCAAAATGTCAAATTTTGCCCAAATTTGATGAAAATGCAAGGTTAACCCTTACAATTTAAAATTTCGCAGAAAAGGCTAAATTTGCTAAATTTTGATGAAAATGCAAGGTTAACCCCTTACAATTTGAAACTTCCCCAAAAAGTCAAATTTTGCCCAATTTTAATGAATATGCAAGGTTAACCCCTTACAATTAAAAATTTCGCAGAAAAGGCTAAATTTGCCAAATTTTGATGAAAATGCAAGGTTAACCCCTTACAATTTGAAACTTCCCCAAAAAGTCAAATTTTGCCAAATTTTAATGAATATGCAAGGTTAACCCCTTATAATTAAAAATTTCGCAGAAAACGCTAAATTTGCCAAATTTTGATGAAAAGGCAAGGTTTAACCCTTACAATTTAAATTTTCGCAGAAAAGGCTAAACTTGCCAAATTTTGATGAAAATGCAAGGTTAACCCCCTTACAATGTGAAACTTCCCCAAAATGTCAAATTTTGCCTAAATTTGATGAAAATGCAAGGTTAACCCCTTACAATTGAAATTGCACTGAAGAAAAATTTTTGCCAAATTTTGTTGAAAATGCAAGGTTAACCCCTCACAATTTGAAACTTCCCCAAAAAGTCAAATTTTGCCCAATTTTAATGAATGATGCAAGGTTAACCCCTTACAATTTAAAATTTCGCAGAAAAGGCTGAATTTGCCAGATTTTGATGAAAATGCAAGGTTAACCCCTTACAAATTGAAACTTCACCCAAAAGTCAAATTTTGCCCAATTTTGATGAAAATGCAAGGTTTACCCCTTTTCAATGTGAAACTTCCCCAAAATGTCAAATTTTACCCAATTTTGATGAAAATGCAAGGTTAACCCCTTACAATGGAAATGTCACTGAAGAGAAAAATTTTGCCCAATTTTGTTGAAAATGCAAGGTTAACCCCTTACAATTTGAAACTTCCCCAAAAAGTCAAATTTTGCCCAATTTTAATGAATATGCAAGGTTAACCCCTTACAATTAAAAATTTCGCAGAAAAGGCTAAATTTGCCAAATTTTGATGAAAATGCAAGGTTAACCCCTTACAATTTGAAACTTCCCCAAAAAGTCAAATTTTGCCAAATTTTAATGAATATGCAAGGTTAACCCCTTATAATTAAAAATTTCGCAGAAAACGCTAAATTTGCCAAATTTTGATGAAAAGGCAAGGTTTAACCCTTACAATTTAAATTTTCGCAGAAAAGGCTAAACTTGCCAAATTTTGATGAAAATGCAAGGTTAACCCCCTTACAATGTGAAACTTCCCCAAAATGTCAAATTTTGCCTAAATTTGATGAAAATGCAAGGTTAACCCCTTACAATTGAAATTGCACTGAAGAAAAAATTTTGCCAAATTTTGTTGAAAATGCAAGGTTAACCCCTCACAATTTGAAACTTCCCCAAAAAGTCAAATTTTGCCCAATTTTAATGAATGATGCAAGGTTAACCCCTTACAATTTAAAATTTCGCAGAAAAGGCTGAATTTGCCAGATTTTGATGAAAATGCAAGGTTAACCCCTTACAAATTGAAACTTCACCCAAAAGTCAAATTTTGCCCAATTTTGATGAAAATGCAAGGTTTACCCTTTTCAATGTGAAACTTCCCCAAAATGTCAAATTTTACCCAATTTTGATGAAAATGCAAGGTTAACCCCTTACAATGGAAATGTCACTGAAGAGAAAAATTTTGCCCAATTTTGTTGAAAATGCAAGGTTAACCCCTTACAATTTGAAACTTCCCCAAAAAGTCAAATTTTGCCCAATTTTAATGAATATGCAAGGTTAACCCCTTACAATTAAAAATTTCGCAGAAAAGGCTAAATTTGCCAAATTTTGATGAAAATGCAAGGTTAACCCCTTACAATTTGAAACTTCCCCAAAAAGTCAAATTTTGCCCAATTTTAATGAATATGCAAGGCTAACCCCTTACAATTAAAAATTTCGCAGAAAAGGCTAAATTTGCCAAATTTTGATGAAAATGCAAGGTTAACCCCTTACAATTTGAAACTTCCCCAAAAAGTCAAATTTTGCCAAATTTTAATGAATATGCAAGGTTAACCCCTTATAATTAAAAATTTCGCAGAAAACGCTAAATTTGCCAAATTTTGATGAAAAGGCAAGGTTTAACCCTTACAATTTAAATTTTCGCAGAAAAGGCTAAACTTGCCAAATTTTGATGAAAATGCAAGGTTAACCCCCTTACAATGTGAAACTTCCCCAAAATGTCAAATTTTGCCTAAATTTGATGAAAATGCAAGGTTAACCCCTTACAATTGAAATTGCACTGAAGAGAAAATTTTTTCCAAATTTTGTTGAAAATGCAAGGTTAACCCCTCAATTTGAAACTTCCCCAAAAAGTCAAATTTTGCCCAATTTTAATGAATGATGCAAGGTTAACCCCTTACAATTTAAAATTTCGCAGAAAAGGCTGAATTTGCCAGATTTTGATGAAAATGCAAGGTTAACCCCTTACAAATTGAAACTTCACCCAAAAGTCAAATTTTGCCCAATTTTGATGAAAATGCAAGGTTTACCCCTTTTCAATGTGAAACTTCCCCAAAATGTCAAATTTTACCCAATTTTGATGAAAATGCAAGGTTAACCCCTTACAATGGAAATGTCACTGAAGAGAAAAATTTTGCCCAATTTTGTTGAAAATGCAATGTTAACCCCTTACAATTAAAAATTTCGCAGAAAAGGCTAAATTTGCTAAATTTTGATGAAAATGCAAGGTTAACCCCTTACAATTAAAAATTTTGCAGAAAAGGCTAGATTTGCCAAATGTTGATGAAAATGCAAGGTTAACCCCTTACAATGGAAATTTCACTGAAGAGAAAAATTTTGCCCAATTTTGTTGAAAATGCAAGGTTAACCCCTTACAATTTGAAACTTCCCTAAAAAATCAAATTTTGCCCAATTTTGATGAAAATGCAAGGTTAACCCCTTACAATTTAAAATTTCGAAGAAAAGGCTAAACTTGCCAAATTTTGTTGAAAATGCAAGGTTAACCCCCTTACAATGTGAAACTTCCCCAAAATGTCTAATTTTGCCCAAATGTGATGAAAACGCAAGGTTAACCCCTTACAATTGAAATTTCACTGAAGAGAACAATTGTGCCCAATTTTGTTGAAAATGCAAGGTTAACCCCTTACAATTTGAAAACCCCAAAAAGTCAAATTTTGCCCAATTTTAATGAATATGCAAGGCTAACCCCTTACAATTAAAAATTTCGCAGAAAAGGCTAAATTTGCCAAATTTTGATGAAAATGCAAGGTTAACCCCTTACAATTTGAAACTTCCCCAAAAAGTCAAATTTTGCCAAATTTTAATGAATATGCAAGGTTAACCCCTTATAATTAAAAATTTCGCAGAAAACGCTAAATTTGCCAAATTTTGATGAAAAGGCAAGGTTTAACCCTTACAATTTAAATTTTCGCAGAAAAGGCTAAACTTGCCAAATTTTGATGAAAATGCAAGGTTAACCCCCTTACAATGTGAAACTTCCCCAAAATGTCAAATTTTGCCTAAATTTGATGAAAATGCAAGGTTAACCCCTTACAATTGAAATTGCACTGAAGAGAAAATTTTTCCAAATTTTGTTGAAAATGCAAGGTTAACCCCTCAATTTGAAACTTCCCCAAAAAGTCAAATTTTGCCCAATTTTAATGAATGATGCAAGGTTAACCCCTTACAATTTAAAATTTCGCAGAAAAG